ATTAGGGATGGGACGATTTATGAAAACCGTCAGAATCGTTCGGTTCGACTGTCTCGGTTCGATTCGCGTGTGTTTCGTTCGGTTCATGCGCTGCTCCTTTTTCTCATAGGCGAAGCGTGTACACTCCAGAGCAGAAGGTGGCGGTACTGCGACCAAAGCCAACCACCAGTAGTAAACAAGAAGAAGAAGCAGCGAAGCAGCTTAGCCGGGTGTAGCAGGGAAAAAATCAGTTGTTGTGGAGAATTGTGTGGGTATGGCGAGTGGGAAAGAACAGGAGTTGGAAGACGCGCCAGCAGCACTTTATAGGTCTGCTGTATGGAAGCGCTTTGCATTTAGAGTGACCTACGATGACGGCGGAAAGAAAGTTGTGGATAAAAGCGCAACAGTGTGCAAGCATTGTGCAACACGTTTTGTTTATGCTAACAGCAACATGACCAACATGTCATGCTAACCCCGAAATCCCTCATACTCCGTCAGCAACCCCCCCCTCCGCCCCGCTGCGCACCAGACCGGCTGCTCAAAGCAAAGCCTACAGCCCCCACTGTGGCTCCCGTCCGCTCCCCTCTGGGTTCCCTTGGAGAAGGTAGAGAGCATGCGCCAGATGATTAAATTCAAAGCAGCAAAACATACGGAAATGATCCAGGGTTTCCGCGGATCATTTAAAATAATTACAATCCATTATTTTTTGGGGGATTTTTTCATTAATTTCATAAATTTTTATGGGATTTCGGTGTAACAATCATATACCAAATCGAACCGAAAACCATGACCACGAAACCGTGAATCGAACCGAACCATGGATTTTTTTAACCGTTCCACCCCTAATATATAAATATAAATAAAATGAAGTCCCAATTTAGAAACAAGCACATACACCTCAAAAATTGTGCATGTAAACTGCAAGATTCTCTTAAATGCTGAGAAATTGCAGATTTTTGTCCTTCACAAATATAAGCTTTCAAGTGCAATAAGTGAAACATTTTTGTCAACCTTAAACAAGGTTAGATAACCTGAAAAATAAAGGCCACAGTTCCATTTTTATATACAACAACATAATATCAAGTTTGGTTTAAAAACCTAGATACATTTTAAATGTTCCAACAGGAAGGAAAGCGTACAGAGCAGCTCATTCCAGAAGTCTTCTTACCTCATCTGCATCTACGATCTCCATCACTCGCTCCTTGAAGAACTTTGAGTAAACCTCGCCGGTGATGGCGGCTGCCTTCTTCATCAGGTTGAGCTCTCCGTCCTCTTTCACCGCCATCGTATAGGCGACCACAGCGCTGATGTCCACCTGTGAAACGGAAGGCCAACGTTGATCAAACACAGGACATCTCAAGAATGGACTCCGGGTGTTATAAGGCGCCTTACTCTGGTCAGCCCCTCTGCGCTGAGCGTGTCATTCCAGCTCTTCATGTAGTCCCCAGGGAACTTGTCCTTGCTGAACACTCCTATCGTCTTTCCGTCTTTGCTGCCCTTGATAGCCTCGATCATCTTGTCAAAATTAGCCTTGTTGCTTTCATTCTGTAGAAGTGGAGAAAGAAGCAAATGGCAGCACAGGTGTAGGAGAAAGCTCAAACGCCAGAGGGACACAGTTCTGGTTTAAAAGTTCTCCCTCCATCTTCAAAACAGTCTCAATTCCCAGTAGCATAAAACACTCCGACACTGACCCGTCCATGTGTGGATTAAAGGGTGCCACCATGTCTACCTTTTCTCTTGTGAGCAGCGTGATGGGCGGTACTCCGTTGGCATTCTCGTTGCCTTTAGTTACAGCCACCTGCCGGAGGAAATCCACCTTCTTCTTGCTGGCTAGGAAGATGATTTTCGTGTCGCAAAACACCATGATTGTGTCGGTGAGCTCATAGCCGAACAGCCAAGTCTGCAGCAAAACAAAAACACCTACACATGAGCCAGGGGATTTCGTGATACTTTTCCCTGATAAACAGACCAATATTAGCTGTGGAAACTTATTAAGCCTGAAATTGTAAGGACAAAAATAAAGCTATTGTCTTAAAAGTATAACTAAAAGGAAATAAGAGAAGGCATAAATTTGAAACAAAAATGTAATTTAGGGTTAAAGCAGAGTGTTCATGTGTGCAGAACTCGGTTGCTTATCTCCTGTCTCTTACCTGTATGGCTGTGGACTTGGCATACACGATTTCCTCATCAACTCCCACGGAAACCACAATGGCATCAACCTTACCAAACTCATCCTCTCCTTTCTGAAAAATCACACAAAGATGCAAACTATTCAATGCAGTAAGTGATATAAACCTTTACACGGTTTCTTGTTGGGGAGGACAAATGTCATTACAATCTACGAACACAAAATATATATATATATATATTAAATTTTTGTTTAGAGCAACTCAGATTTCCTCATTACCATTTAAAAAATATTGAGAAGATTTTTTCTCTCTCAAAAATTGACAATTATCTTTTAAACCAGAGCAAAGCGCATTATTTCAGCCATCTGAGTGGCAGTGCACAAATATTGGTTCAAGTAGTTTATGCAAAACTCATGATTAACAGCAAGGTGGGGTACCGCCAGCATTTCGTGGGAATATATGTACAATTAGGAGACGTTAGCAGTTTTCTAATAACTTCAACATTATAAATATCTCAATTTATCAACACATTCAAGAGTGAGAAACATTATCATTTAACTTAAACACGAGGTTTTAACTTATTTTCAAATGTAACATCATGAAAACAAACAAAAACAGCACAAAAAAAGAGCTTAAATTGCTTTTTTATAAACTAAATCAAGAAATTCACAGACTTACTTCCTAACCAGCAAGGATGCTGACGTTATTCAGATGCTAATTAGCTAGCTAACATTAGCATGTCGATAAGACTGCAGGTGTAAACCAAGCAGAACTGAATATTCATGTTAATGTTAAATATCCTACAGGCCTACGCATACATTTAGTGGATTTATACAGTTTTAAATAGTTGTGTTAATCCAGAGAGCAGTCGTTACATCATTACAGTCGTAAGGCTAGCAGGCTAGCTAACGTGGAGAATGAGGATGCTAACATGAGGCAGCTAGCCGCTCTGACGGACAGATAAGGAGGGCAGTTTTCAGAAAGTTTTTGAGGGGTTTGTGGCAAATGATGGGCCGACATAGTAGCTACGGAATCCCGCTGGATCTTAGAGAAGAAAACACATCCCTGCTCTCGCTCTGTCTCTCGGCGTAGAAAACTCGCGGCTAATTTAGCGGTTCAACAGCTCACTTTTTTTACTACTACAGGGGACTCCAGCAGACTCCCAGACTTTGACACAAACTCCGTTAAATTCACCTTCCAGTTGCTGTAGAGTCTCTTAATTCGGCGGTAGTAGGCCTCTTTGTCCAGGTTTACCGCCATGCTGATTCCCCCGTTCTGTGAACTCCAGCTCCCGGGCTTCGACTCTCTGCAGGCCGGATAACGATGACGGCGAGTGTCAACCAACAAAAACGCACTTCTTGCCTTTCCACGCCTGCTGAGAGCCAAGCACCACGCAGAGATGCTGATGCCCGCCTTACTATTTCAGCAAGCTATCATGTAACAACAACAAATCAAGTGTTTCTCTTATGTATATATGTATATATTAAAAAAAAGTGTATATTGTAATGTGATGTAAATCCTCCCCCGTTTGTAATTAACTCCTTAAAGCCCACTCCCTCCCTCACTGCCGGGCTTTTCCCTCCCCCTTTGTATATTAAAAATCATCTATCATACAAATTAATATCTACCTAAACGCCGTAGTTTAAAACTTAACGTTTTTATTCATGTTTTATACATTCTATACAAACAAGCCTCTTAAAACAGTATTTTTCCGTTATGTTACTCTGTTATTTGTTTTTGCTGCACATTTCAATACGCACCGTACAACAGCGCCCCCTATGTTCAGTCAACCACACTAATTATTTTTTTTTTCCCGCCACAGCGCCTTGTTATTTTTTTCCCGCCACAATCATTAAAGCGATCGAGTGACGTGATCTCGCGATACAAAGTTTGATGCGCACTAGCGTTTTTTGACCAAGCAGCTCATCCGTAGCTTAAAGATGGGGAATCGTTGAAATTATTTCAAAATAATTTATTAAAATCATAAAAGATAAAAATATGAAAAATTACATATCACAAAAGTTTGTCTTTTAACTAAATATATATATATATATATATATATATATATATATATATATATATATATATATAATTTAAGCAGCTTAAAAGAAAACACATTTTTAACTCTAGTATCTCGGTGGTAGAAAAGAAGGTATTTTAGTTACGTTTTTTAGAAATAAATGGAGAAAAAAAAGAAAGAAAATTGAAATTTTATGCTTTTCTATATCTGATAACAGAAACATTTTTATGTAAAATGTTTCAGAAAGCGATAATTTTTTCCAATTTTTTCCTCTCCGTTCATCCTGTCTGTATAACTATAAACTGGATAATTCAATAAATGTTTTTATTTTAAGGTGTTGAATAGATACAAAAAAAAAAATCTCTTCAGCTTCTGTTTCTTTTTTAGGATGTTTCCAAAAATGTATTACATTTTGCAACAACTGGAGGAATAATAAGGTTTAGGTTGAATTGATATTGATCATTCATAAATATAAAATACCAAACACATATTTATAAAATTATCTTTTGCAAAATATTTCACTTTAAATTTAATGGAAGGTTTGTAAAATTCGTTATTCATTCATTTTTATATGTCCAAATGAAAAAAAAAAAAGTAAACAAAAAATCAGTAAATAAGCCAAACCAAATTGTAATGAAGAAATAAATGCCTTGTTTATATTAGAACATAAAATATTTTATTTCATGATTTTAAAAAAAGTTGCCAGGATTTCTGCAACAGACCACAGCATTAATGGCATTTAAACATCTGGAAACAGTTTGATTTTTGGAAGCAACTAAACCTTTAATTCTCCATCCATCTCAGACTGATTTTTTACTGACATGGCATCGGATAAAATAATAATGAAAAAAAGAAAGTTTACACTGCATTTCTTCCCTTCACAGCAGATGGTGCTGTCAGAGCTGGTGTCTTTTATTTCATACTTCTTATTCCATTCAGAAATCATCACAATTTTTTAAATCGCCAAATATTCACATATTCCAGAAGCTAAAAGGTGGGAATAGAGAGCATGTTAGCACCTGTTTAAGTGTTTCTCACCAGACAATTTCTGTGAAGTTTGGTGGAAATGTCCGTTTAAAGGTTGTCGAACAGAATTTAGCTTCTGGCTGATTCCTTCTAATCGCCGAACTCCTCTAACTAAGATATCTTTAAACCCGTTTGTGCTTGGCGTGGTTGTCGGTTCCAAATGTTGCGGCTCCTGAACCGCCGACATGTGCGACCAGAAATGGCAGCCGAGCAAATCACCCGGAGTTCCTTCACAATGATCATCCGACCTTGTAACAGTAAAGGGTGAAACTGCTCTTTAAACGGATCAATAAAAGCATCAGCAGGTTTACTCTTACATGTCATTTTCCTTGTTTTGTTTTTTTTAAAGAATTAAAAACACCATCATATAAATGTTCCTTTTTTATCATCTTTTCAATTCACAATACATGATCAACATGAAATACATGGAGCAGCATCAGCCATCCGTCCGTCGGTGTGAGCGAGCGTCCTTACAAATCCAGTGCTTGCAAACAGGAAACCAGAGGCGGCCATTTCCCTGCCCCTGTGAGGTCTTTGTTCTTGTCCCAGAGATGAAGAAAAACAAAAAAAGAAGCGAACCATTACGAGCCAACACCTGAGTCAATCATACATGTAGTATTAGTCCTGTTTGTGTAGCATTAGTTCCATGGCCTGTGTCCTTTCTCTATGTAACGGTGGTGGAGTTTGACCCTCGGATGGCGCACCACGCCATGAACACGTCTCTGTGGAGAAAAGAAAAAAAATCATAAAGATCTTAGTTATTTTGACCTTCATTAGTTGTTAATGATTCTTTAAGTCAAAAAACAAATCAGAACATTGGAATAAGCGTATTCAAGGGAATGGTGCCCTATTGGTTCGAGCATTGCGCTTAGAACCCAGAGGTTCTGATTTCAAGCCCCACTCCCACAGACTGCCACTCTGGGTCCCTGAGTAAAAATACCTAAGGGCTGGTTGTCCTCCCACAGCAGTGAGTCGCAGATGTTTTTGATTTATGCCCAATATTGAAGAGTGGTCTGCGCTATGTTATTCCACGCCACAACGCAAGAGGGGCAATCAGGAACTAGCTGTGGGTCTAGAAACGGCCGAGGCGGAGGTTCCCAGCGTTCTCGTGCACCTTGCTCTTCTAGCTGGTCCATCTTCACGAGTCGTTTTCCACAATGGCGGTCAGACAAACAGAACAAGCCGGTAAGGTACCAAACAGGAAATAAGCATAGCGTAGAGCGGATGTAGATTTGACCAATCAGAGGCCTCCTGTCTGCAGTCACCTACAATTTTTGGAGAGGTGCAGCAGAGTGTCTACGGAAGGGGGCGGGAGCACATTTGCAACAGCCGCAGACGACCTGGTTTCTGAGTATAAATCAGCCTTTAACCCAGGGGTGTGCAAATCCAGTTCCTGAGGGCCGGTATCCTGAACGTTTTACATCGTTTCTTTATCAAATAGGGCTGCAACAACGAATCGATAAAATCGATAAAAATCGACTTTTAAAAGCGTTGGCAACGAATTTCATCATCGATTAGTTGTGTCGCGCGATTATTGCGTCATCCGCCGCGCCGTCATCACTGCCTCTTGACTGAAAGAGGAAGAAAAAAAAATACGGCAGAGCGAGTCAGCGCCGCATGTGCAGTGTTGCCAACTCCGCGACTTTTCAGACCCCTCCAGCGACTATTTTTCAAAAAAGCGACTAACGACAAATCTGGCGACTTTTTTCGGTGTCACTGGCGGCTTTTGGAGACTCTTACGTGAAAGCATGTATCGTTCCTACTCTGCCGTGGGGCGCCTCCCCCACACCAACCGCGTTTTCCCGCAGTAGTCCCTCTCAGTCAGAGCCTCAGCGTCCAGACTGCAAATGAAGCGCGCATGCACCGGGATTGACGGCGCAAATTGATCACAATAATTAAAATAGCCTGTGCTTTGTAAAGCGAAAAAAGTGATAACACGCAACTTTTTTCAAAAGAAATTAACATGGCACGGAACCACCATGTTTGTTTGGTTTTAAAGTGGGGGAAACGTTACGTTAGTTTCTCAGGTAGCTCATCTGATGCTTTCCTTACCTACCTACAGACAGTTACTTACAGACAGTGATAAGGTTGGCTACTTATTTTACTTTTAATTTCATTTGAATTAGCTTAAGCAGCGTTTATATTTACTTTATAAATAAATTAACTTGCAAATTATGAGGGCAAGACTTTTAAAGTTTAAATCTTCTGGCAAAGATAAAGTAAAGAAGATCCTGCAATTTATGGAAGTAAAGCAGAATAAAATCCAGCAAGATCAGTAATATGTCAATTAATTATATGCCACATTCCCATGTAAATATCTGTCTTTGGAGGATGTGTTTTTTAGCACCCCTAGTTCTCTCATTTTTATTCCAAATACAATTTATAATTTGAATCACAGGGCTATTTTTATCTCTATGGTTCAGTATTTTCTCAAGTAGCAACTTTAACTGCTGTACTTTCCTGTCTTAAAAGGCAGAACTCTTCTAGTCTAAAAAAACTCATTTGTTGAAATGGGGGGGCCTATTGATTGAACCCCTTAGGGGCTTTTAAAAACAAAAATGTCTTTTTATGCGCTTTATGAAACAAAGTACCCTATATTTTGTGGATGTACAGCTACATTTCTCATGTAAGTTTGCGTAGTTTTAACACAAACATTTATTTTTCATATTGCACCAGTACAGTTAATGAGCAACCTGTACTTGTGTGCTTGTTTGTTCTGTCTAAAATGTTTATTTTGGAATAAAGAGGTTAATATAAAAAATATATTTTGTCCGATTCATCGATTAATCGAAAAAATAATCGTCAGATTCATCGATTTTTAAAATAATCGTTAGTTGCAGCCCTATTATCAAACACACCAGAAGCAATTGGCTGAGTTACCTGCTCAGTATGCAGTCAGTTTCTCACAAGTCCTCTCAATCAACTAATTACTTGATTCAGGTGTGTTGAACCAAAGGCACATCTAAAAGTTGAAGGATACCGGCCCCCAGGAACTGGAATTGCCCACCCTTGCTTTAACCCCACCCTGCTCCCCAGGCGCCGCACAACGGCAGCCTATTGCTCCTCAAGGGGATGGGTTAAATGCAGAGAGTGAATATGGTTGCTTTCTACTTGTTACAGTGTAATGACAATAAAAGTTGATTCCTCTTCTTCAATTCCCCAAAATAATAAAATAAAACAGGCTTCAACATTTGGACTCTAATCAGGTGTACACCTTGGTGGGTGTATCACATCTTTAGGCTTTGCGCAACATACATTTAGAAATGTAGTCTCTTCGAAAAATGCCATTCAGAGGTGGAATCCAGCTAACTGTTTGTCTTTGTTCCAACACTACTTTTTTTTTTTTATGGAAAGCATGTGTGCTTGACTAAAGGTGGAAATTTCATAAGGAAGACATGAGATAATTTTTAGGCACAATGTTATGTTTCATAGGTAACAATCAGAAAGTGTAAAGCGTGTGCTGCTTCATATTTCATGCTTGTCCACATTAAAGTCTGACGCGCCTCAGGAGCCTGAAAGATGCTCCTGAAGTGCGTTCATTTAAGTTTGTCCAGATGCGTCCGATACTTGTGCTGCTACTGTGTTCAATGACAGCGAGTGCCATGGCTATATTTGCTGTGATCAGAGCGTAAAAAGTAGTTTTAATATATTTTTATGAGAGAAAGTTCACATAAAACATGGTCTGTGCAGTCAGTACATCAAAATTAGGATCCTGCCTTTAAATATTATTTTGCTGTCCAGGGTGTTGAGAGAGGAACCTCTATAGCTAAAACCATATTAGTCAATATTAATTCAAATAAGTTACTTTATAAAAAAAAAAAATAAAAAAAAATAATTGTGTGGGAATTTAAATTTGGTTAGATTAAATTTTGTTTTATGTTTATAAAATGATATATTGCGATTCTAATCTGACTTGTGATTTAGGTTCAATAAAAAACTAATTATACGCCTACTGTTCGTCGCAGTTGGAATAAGATGTTCGAATTTTTCAGATATGTGGTAGAAACTGCAGGCACCACAATAATAAAAGCGAACACATTTTTTCCGGCAGGTTTTGACATTTTAAGTTAATTTAGGCGTTAAACTGTTTCAGAGGAGTGATTATAGCGCTCTGCATCAGCAGTGCTGTATCCGTCTCCCTGCCAGCTCCCAGGTCAGCTTCTGTGATTTGTTGATGTGGCGCGTCGAGCAGCAAAAGTTTTCTCAACTACAAAAACGTTTTTTAATTTTTTTTATTTCAAATGTTCACAAATGAAACATTCAAGCAAACATCCTTTGCTTAAAAGAATAATGGAAGAAAATTCCCGCCATAAAAAATTAGATCATCTTTCTTCTGCTTGAACATTCTAATCCACAAAAGCCAGAAGTCTGTCTGGATCCGTAGAGACATGCATTTGACCTGAGCTGCAAATAAAGACATAACCCTGAACTAGCATCATCTCACCAGCAGATGGCGATAGTGTAAACATCAGAGTACATCAGAGTAAGAAGAGCTGGTGATTTTTCCTCTCATTGTGCACCAGAGGACTGAAGTTTCTTTATTATTATTCAACTTTAGTGGTTTCAGTTCTTATTTGAGGCTACATGCTTTGTGTCCATGTTGCTATGCAGAAATATGAGATGGAATACTCTAAACAAGCAAAGTAGAGACTATTGGAAGACAAGTTTGTGTCTAAAAAACAGCAAACCTTTTATGTAGACATAAATGAAAATAAAGATCTAAATAGATTATTATGAAGGAAGGACTGCAGAGGACTGAGGAAGGGACACTCTGAGCAAACTGCCTTCAGACCGGAGCAGAGAGAGACCAGTACTATGAATCTGAAAAATAGAAAACATCTTCCAGGAGCACATTAGGCTAATGACCCAGCACTGACTTTATGGTGAAAACTTTTTTTTTTTTTAATCACACCAGAAGTGAATTTAAAGGAAAAGTGTTTTCAATATTAAAGCCCTTCAACCTTTACTCTATTGTAGACCTAATGAGGCAGAGCGTCTATTTAGGTTTCAATAACCTTTAAGAAACTTCATTAAACTAAACACCTGCACACCTTATGAAGATCAGGTCCTCGTTAAGAAATAAGATGCTTTAAATTTGTAGGGAAGCGGCTGTTCCAACGTTGCATTTCCGAATTCTCCCGAGTGGTGCACGACTTTACACAAGTGAATAAAGTGAATGTGATTGGTTGATTACAAGGGGGCGGGATTGTTGTGGTGAAAGGTTTGCAAGCAAGTTTTATTGTGGCCGGTTTGTCTGAAGCATCTTGCTAACCAGTTAGCAACGTGCTAGTAGGTTCCCAATGGGAAATTCCATTGGGACCAAGTAGCACTAAATTGGTGACTTAGAAACGACACTGTCAAGGAACGCTATGGACAGAGGAAACATGCAAGAGGAGGAGAGTTTAGTGTCAGAGTTCGTAGATGAGACTTCCCGGTCGTAAATTTTTTATTTAGAGGAGGAAAGCAGGGAGAAAGTTGTTGTGTTAGAGGACGCCAGGGCAGCAGAAGCTTGGTTTGGTGTAGAAGGCTTACAGCCGTACATGTTTGAGCCCTTGCCTCGCAACGCTGCCAGTTCTGTTAGCTCTACGCCTGCTGAAGACACAGACGTCCATCCCCGTGAACACTGGGACGGAACTCAATGGGAAAGGAAATTTTTCTTATTTCAACTGTTGCGTATATTAGCTGCGACATATGAATCAAGATGGTATGACCGAAAAAATTTGATTGACAGATGTCCGTTGATATATGATTGACCGAATTTAGGTGTACAAGCTGACGTACAACTAACTGGCCTGCATAAGATAACAAAAATAAAATAAAAAACAGAGCGTATGTTTATATACATTTTTAAGCCAGAATGATTTGACATTTAAACATGATTTCCGTACAGCTTTAAGCATGTAAAGCGCTCTTTTCATGCAGTCAGTTTGCATTAAATGTAGTTTAGTATTTTACAGACTAAAAGCTGAAGCCTCCATGAAGTAAAATATTTTGTGATCTTTCACTGAATTAATTGTTGAACCAGATTATTAAATTATCTGGATAATTTTATCTCGTTTCTTTCAAGTCGTTGAGTTAAAAAGAAGGTGTGTGGACTGGTTGTTGGTGTCGTACCTGCAGTGCGTGGCGACACACTCGTTGCTGCAGTACTCCTTGTCCCAGTCTTTGCTCTCCACCGCCGGGTTGTTGCAGCCGGCGCGCACGCAGATGTTCAGAGCCTTGGGGGCGCTCACACTCAGACCGGGCGTCACGTTCACCTCCACCTCCATCTGCAGTGGCGGGGAAAAGCGTCAACAAACCGTCCAATCGTGTAGATTTGAGGATGTTCACAGGAAGCGATCGAACATACCCCTTCCTCTGATTCCGCCACTTCCTCTCCTGCCATCACCACGGCGTCCGTCTGCCCCACCTCCAGCGTCACGCCGGACGAGGACGTGACCTTGCTGGAGGCGTCCCCGCCTGACGTGACTATGATGGGCTTGGCCGAGTCCTGCTGCCGCGACGAGGGGACCACTTTGATCTGGAGGGGAGGCGGAGCGGTGGCCGCTGAGGTGCCGCCGCCGGCCCGCGGTTTGGCCTGCAGAGGGGGCGGGGCCTGCTGTAGTCTGGGTGGCGGCGGGGTGCTCTGCATTTGTTGTAGTGGTGGCGGCTGGCGTGGCGAGGAGGTGGTGGTGCTGGTGACGGAAACGCCGCCGGATGGAAGCGGCGTTTGCTTGATGATGATCTTGGTGACGGTGGGGGGGTTGGGGGCGGGGCTAGGAGCGGGAGCTGGGGGCTTTGCGCCGGTGCGGGAACGCGTGGTCACGTGAGGCAGGTCCAGGATGATGTTGGAGGTGCATATGTTGGTGATGGTGTTCTCCTCCGGGTTGTAGTGCTGGGACCTGGTGGGGCGAAGGGTCGGAGTGGCGGCCGGGGCGGTCGTGACAGGAGGAGGAGGGGGAGGGGCTGCGGGCGGCGGCGAAGGGTCGGTCTCCATGACTTCGATGGGAGCCTGAAGAAGAAAGAGGTGCTTAGAAGCAGGAAGGCAGCAGAGGGTCTCGTGGCGCCCAAACCGGACTCACCTGAGCGTTCTTGTTGGCGCGGTACTCTGCCAGGGCTTTCAGGTACTCCTTCTTTGCTGCTTCGTTTTTCCTTTTGTAAACCTGCAGAAAAACAAAATAATAATAATCCGTCATTCAAATACAGAAAAGCGTCACTCCAAGTCACAGCAAATTCCTCCTACCTGTTTCTGCTCCTCCCCCAAACTGTCCCACATGGACGCCACGATCTTAGACACCTCGCCAAACGTGGCGTTGGGGTTCTGGCCCTTGATGGCGGCCTGCGTGTCCCTGAAAAACAAAGCATACGCCGACACAGGCTTCTGGGGCTCGTTGGGGTCTTTCTTCTTCCTTCCCTTTTTTCCTCCCCCCGCTCCTCCTTTGCGTCCGGCGCCCAAGGAGACTGCGGAGGTCGACGCAGAGGCCGGAGACTCAGACGTGGAGGGATCGAGCGGGATGACGCCGGGCGAAACAGCCAGAGACACTGGAGACTCGACGAGCACGCTCTGATGGGAGGAGGCAGAACGATGATCAGTCTGGAAGGTTCTGAGATGAAGGACTGACGTTTAAGGAAAACGGTTCTGGTTCTGCGGACTCACCCTCCTGAAGTCGTCCATGTCGTCGTCCTGCAGCGAGCTGGTGGGCGACGCCGTGGCCGATAGAGGGTTTTCAGGCGACTGGGGTCGCTGTAGAATGCTGCCCCCTCCTAGACCGAGTCCCAGATGAGCGCTGAGCTCTGATTGGTCGATAGTGGTCAGCTGGTTGGACCCCAGTAGGCCCTGGCCCATGTCAGCCAGCGGGACGTCAATGGTTACTGGAGACGAGCTGCTGAACTGAGACCCGATGGGATGGCCCAGATCCTGGGGAGGAGAGGCGACACCAGTCAGAGCCACTAACGGCAGAGATTTCTCTTCTATAAAGCCTATAAGTCCTCACCATCCCCAACGAGGAACCCAGCAGAGCGCTTCCTCCCGATTGGTTCATCACCCCCAGATTCAGGTGCTCCAGACCTTGCGAGGGAGCGCTGACGTAGGTGGAGGCGAAGGATGGGTCGTCCCCTTCCACCACGGCGTTTCCCGGTACGACCACGCTGTCCGAGGCGCCGGTGTCCGACAGCTCCCCGAAGTGAGACACCACGTCAGAGACGGTGAGCGCCGAGTCCGGGTCCAGAGAGATGGGCGGGATCTCGAACTCCTCATCGCCGAGGCTGGGAGTGTGGAACGTCTGGAGCCACGAGACGGAGAGGTAAGTTCTTCTGCTGTTCTTTCAATAATCAAGGTCAGTTTGACTTTTGGGCTTAATGTCATAAAACTGACGGTGCAATAAATTATGTTCAGACAAAAGCAACAGAATTCAGATTCAAGGCAGTTTTGATTCAAGGATAATAAATTTCAGAATTGAGCGACCTTCACAAAAATATATTCAAGTTGACCTCATTCTAACTTTATTTCCTGATATTTACAATAATTAACAGGAATTTATGGGATTGAACTTAATACGACCTGGAATTGGAAATACTGAAGGTTTTTAACTTCACATGGATTAAATAGAAATATAATCAATCAAGCAATTGATTGCATTTGCAATATAATCGCAATTTAACAAAAACCAGTTCTAAAAAGGAATTCACTTTTGGTCATGTTACCTTTAGCAAGAATAAGACACTGAATTTGCCTTTAGATGGCGCTTAAAGGACAACTACACAGAAAGGAAGAGTTTCAGCAAGCATGCAGATTCATGCATGCAAGTGAAAGTTCTTCTTTTGTGATTTGTTTTTTTATACAAAGGTTGCAATAAATTGCTGCAGCAATGGACTCTAGACAATCAATCTTCCAAAGTTATGAATAAACCTAAAACCTGGACTTAAACATCGACAAGCTTGTGGTTTGTGGACAGGACAATCTAAATAAAATTGCAAAAATGGTTGAAAATAACCGCAGTATTGTTTTTTGGCAAAATCGTTCAGCCCTACCAAACATCTGAGTACAATAACCCGATTTTGAAGTAAACCATGATCAAGTAGGCAGTAGGCACCAACTGATCCGCTGTGTTTTCCTTTTTTTTTGGGAGGTCGGTGATGTCCGATCGTTCCAATCAATCTGATCTACCTCTTTAAAGATCTGAAAACCTCCCAGTCAATAAACTTTAATTTAAATTTGAGAGAAGTTATTTCTGAAGTTTTTTTTTTTCACAGGCAATGATTGTTCTTTTTTTCAGTAAGTTAATATGGAAAAATATCTTGTTTCTTATAACTGAGTGTCAGTTAAAAAAAACAAATCTTTATCAGTCAAAATCAGAATCAGTGTGTCAGGCTTTTTAAAGATCAGGAATCTAATACTATTTTTTTTATCTGACCTCTGCTAGAAAACCGCTGCTCACCACCTGCCGCTACAGGAGCTGTGACCCTCTGACACTCTGGCTACATTCACACAGCAGCCAGGTGACACAAATCAGATTTTTGTTCCCCATATGAGACCTGGATCTGATCTTTTCATGACTGAACAACACAGATCCGATTTTTTCCAGTGCGATCCAGGCCACTTTGATCCGTGGTCCTGAATCTGATCTTTTCAAATGCGACTTGTGTCGAATGGCCAGTTTGCATTCATTCAAACTGTACTTCATTGATACCCGACAAAGGTCACTATTATGCCTCTCGCTAAGCAGAAGCAGGAAGAAAACAACAGTGTTGGACGATAATGCAGAGAACAGTCTTTATTTTTAACCAATCTTGAAAAGATTCTGCTGTTAAAGCGCTGACTTGGGTTGGGAAAGATCGCTAGATGTTCTCCATCACTACCATCAATGCTTACTTCCGTAAACACAGAGCACGCTCGCTTGTGATGTCATTGTGTCCTCAACTGCGCATGGGGGACACTTGGGTTGTATGAACTCAGTTCCCACAGGAGATCACATACAAGTTGCATATATTTGGAAATGTGAACAATGACGCTAAGGACTTGGATTTCACACAAAAAAATCCGAATTGTGCATTAATGCCTGCAGTGTGGACTTTGATGCCTGCAGCGACATATAAACGTTCATCCATTGAATGTTTTAGATTATCTTTTCCTGCCCTCGTTAGAACTTTAATTAAACCATCAACTTGTTTTTGCTTCAGTTCACAGAATTTAAATGTAAACTGAGGTTAGAAATACCAGAATGTCCATTAAGAACGAAGAAAAATAATAAAATAAAGCAAAACATCACAAATAAGTGAGAAATTTAAAATTTCCTTAACATTGATAAAACAATGGCTCAGATTTTATCTGTAAACATCCTCAAAAAAAGCCACACATTGTTTAGTCAGTGGAGCATATAGAAAAATGTAAGATTTAATTTTACCAGGAAAATAGGTGTGAGGTTTCAAATAGAAATAAGCTGATAACATTTGAGTTTCCTGATTTATTAGCGCACTCAGCAGCCAGACCTTCACATAACATAATAAATCAATGTATAACATTAGTAACTTTTTTTATTATAAATAATAAATCTTTAATTGTTTTTATATTCAGACTTCTGTAGCATTTGTTGTTTTTGTGTCATTTTAATCACGTAAAGGCGGAAGAAAAACCTCAGACGTCGATTCTAATTCAAATGTCGCTTTAGGATAAAATCTGCAGCTTTATCTAACTTTTTATTTTAGAAGCTTCTCTGTCTTTCTTAGAATCGCCATGTCTGCAACTCAAACCGCGGCTCTGATGGGGGATGATGATGGGGGGTAACTCCTACCTCGGAGGGAGAGAGGAAGGGATGGCCGGACCCCGGGATGGACAGGTAGTTGTCGCTGCCTCCAGGGAACTAAAACACAGGAGAAAAAGAAGTTAGAGATAAGGTCTCCTTATGAAGGAAAACTGTCAGATCACAGTTTTATCATATAAAACTGTCAGATCACCCTCCTACTGTCTGTTGATTCTCTTTTAAAATGAAAGCTTTTAGGCGCCAAATGCTTGGAATATAGAGGGAAAAAGTACCATCATTGATTCCCCAAAGCTTCCTACCTGTTAGACCTCAATGTTCGTCTCTTATACGTTCTACTCCTTCATTTAAAGCAGCTAGTTTTTATTGCAGCAGCTTGCAGAAGCACAGCTGTGATCTAAGCTCTTGGATTTGGTCAGGTGCTGTTTCAGTAACTTTATGGAGCCAAATGACCCCAAACAGCTGACTATCTAATGACTGGATCTTCCAGCAGAAGAACTGAATTTATTCTTCTATGATGGCATTTTTTTTCCCCAAGATGGCAAGATGGCCGGTTTGTCGAAAGCATTGTGCTAACCAGTTAGCAACTTAGTGCTAGTACGATCCTAATGTGAAATTCCATTGGGAGCAAGTAGCACTAAATTGGTGACTTAGAAACGACACTGTCAAAGAACGCTATGGACAGAGGAAACATGCAAGAGGAGGAGAGTTTTGTGTCGAAGGTCGTGGATGAGTCTCCACGACCTTCGTCATACATTTTTTATTTAGAGGAGGAAAGCGGGGACGAAGTTGTTGTGGAAGAGGACGCCAAGGCAGCAGAAGCTTGGTTTGGTGTAGAAGGCTTCCAGCCGTACATGTTTGAGCCTTTGCTTAGCTCTACGCCTGCTGAAGACACAGACGTCCATCCCCGTGAACACTGGGACGGAACTCAATGGGAAAGGAAATTATTCTAAATTCTTATTTCAACTGCTGCGTATATTAGCTGCGACATATGAATCAAGATGCTATGACCAAAAATATTTGATTGACAGATGACCGTTGATATATGATTGGTCGAATTCAGGTGTACAGGCTGACGTATAACTAACTGGCCTGCATAAGATAATGGAAACAAAGAAAAAAAAAAAGATTTTAAGACAGGATTTTTTTTTTATATAGAAATTTTCTACATTTTGCGACAATGGGCTATGATAAAGAGTACATTTAGTTACACGTTTAAGCCAGAATGATTTGACATCTAAATATGACTTCCCTTGACATCAGAAAAAAACAATGTCTGTATTTCAAAGTGACTCATTCAACCTAAAGGAGTTTCTACCACTTTGTAAAGAGATGAGTCAAATTCATTCTGATAAACACTAAAACTTTCCTTATATTGATGCATAAAGGAATATATGCTGGTGAAGATTCTCAGTCATCCAGGTCATAGTCACTCCAAATAAGAAAATTAAAAACAATCCCCTGGACTTGTTAACAAGTTTGAAGATGTTTCGTATTCCATCCAGGAAGGTTTTTCAATTGAAAATTAATTGAAAATCCTTCCTGAAAACCTTCCTGGATGGGAAACGAAACGTCTTCAAATTTGGAGACAAAGTCCAGTGCATTGTTTTTAATTTTCTTTTTTTTGGAACAAAGAAATATGAAACTACTAAACCTTTTCTTCCAGTTCACATCGCTCTGAGCTGCTCTACTAAATTAACTAATTAGGTTTAAACTGCATCTTTATTCCCATTAGAGGATCATATTCATCTATTTCTCACATTGAAAATAGGATCCTAACATTCACATTTTCCCTGGATCTCATGTTTTTTTTAAACAGAGAAAATCTGAGGAACTGAATGGTTTAAATATTTGTTTTTCTGGCACCAAATGTTGAAAATTATGCCGATTTCTTTTTTTTGGGGGATAATTCAATCAAACATCTATAGATCTCTTCTATCTATGGATCTGTGTTTATAACAGGGTAGTGATCAGAGGATAAAGTGTGATCCTGTCCCTTTCCTTTCACCTTGCTGTCAAAGCCATTGAAGGCGTGCGGATCCAGAAACTCCGGGTCTCCGTCGTGCTGACCGGTTCCGTCTGTTAGATCCGAGTAAAAATTCAGGTCCATGTTTTCAGCCGGGCCTCGTTAGATGGCTGAGACGCATTTACCGGTCCGTTCTTTGTTCTGTTTTCGCCTGAATTGTTGAGGAAGCCTCTCCGGTAGCTGCAGCCCCCCCTCAGCAGCAATAATCGGCCTGATCCGTCCGCCCTGACAGCTCTGGAGGTGGGATAAAGAGGAGCATGTGCGCCCCAGCAGCTACGCCAAAAATAACCCAGAGGCTAACCGCCGGGTTAGCGCGGCCGTTAACCGCCTGTGCTGCTGACCTGTCCCGCCGCGGTCTGCCCTGATACCGCAAGGCTGCGGTACTCTGACAACCGCACGCCCCGCCGGAGCCCCCAGTCCGTCTGAACCCTTTCAGTCAGACACTCCCCACCCAACTCCCCACGAGTGGATCTACCGACAGAAATGTTCACGGCGCCGCGGAGGTGTGAGGGAAACGGTTCAAGGTGTCTGACAGGCGGGGGGAGACCGAGCGATGCTCCGTGTCTGCTACGTGTTAGCCTGGCCAGGACGATCAATGGATCATAGAGTGATGGATCCAGCCGGGTCAGGACGATCAATGGATCCCAGAGTGATGGATTCAGCCTGGCCAGGACGATCAATGGATCCCAGAGTGATGGATCTAGCCTGGCCAGGACAATAAATGCATCCCAGAGCGATGGATCTAGCCCGGCCAGGACGATCAATGGATCCCAGAGTGATGGATCTAGCCCGGCCAGGACGATCAATGGATCCCAGAGTGATGGATCTAGCCTGGGCAGGATGATCAATGGATCCCAGAGTGATGGATCTAGCCCGGGCAGGATGATCAATGGATCCCAGAGTGATGGGTCCAGGATGATCAATGGATCCCAGAGTGATGGATCTAGCCTGGCAAGGACGATCAATTGATCCCAGAGTGATGGATCTAGCCCAGGCAGGATGATCAATGGATCCCAGAGTGATTGATCTAGCCTGGCCAGGACGATCAATTGATCCCAGAGTGATGGATATAGCATTGGCAGGATGATCAATGGATCCCAGAGTGCTGGATCTAGCCTGGCCAGGACGATCAATTGATCCCAGAGTGATGGATCTAGCCTGGCCAGGATGATCAATGGATCCCAGAGTGATGGATCAAAGAGCAGCTCAATGAAACACATGCTGGGTGGGTAAGTAGCACTACTTTAACTAACCTAACTCCGTCAGATGGATTTGCTCCGCATATCCATCTGGAAACCTTCCGTAGAAGTAGTTTTGGGAAGGGGCGAAAATACTGGTTAGCTAATTGGCCTATGTTGGTGATAGACGGGCCAAATAAACCAATCAGATCAACCAAGCATATAACGTAATAACAGAGCGACGACGAAAACACAACCACAAGCCAGGCTACTCTTGCCGAAACCAGTCGGGAGAATAGCAAAAACATCTTTTCCTCTGAGAAAAGCCTCCAGAGCAGTGTTTTGCTCTTCTTTCAGTGAAGAAATACTCTGTAATTCCGATAAAACTTGCTCGATAGCCACGCTAACGCTAGTTTCATCGGCTGAGGCCGCCATGTTCTTTAGACTGAACTGTTGCGCTTCTCGTTGCGTCACACCTCAACCCGCCTTAAAGCCAACGCTGATTGGACGTTCGTTTGGTGAACGGCTCCAAATTTTCTTTAACGGATCTGCGAGTGAAACCTTGAAAGCTCGCGAGATCAGGATAGTCTCACAAGGTTATACTTTAACACGTTTAATGATATTATTATTAGTTAAAAAAGAAAAAAACAGGTCATTCAGGATTTACTGAATTAAGATATTATTTAAATACTGAGGAATTTTTAGAGAATCTGATTAAATGTTTAGAAATTATGCAGTCAGATAAAGCCTATATGTAAGTTCTGTTATTTTAAATAAGGGGGTTCTGATACAACTTTCTAATTTCCAGTATGATACCGATATTGACCCGATAAGATATCCGCATGAATCATACATACTTTAACAGAGAACAAGTATAAGAATAACTGACCCATATATTATTAACCGATGGTTTAAATAGCCTTTAAATAGAAGTAGATAGAAGCAGAGTGTTTCTATCATTTTCTGATATCGCAGAGTTTTGGATGCAGGCTGATATATTACAATATTGGATTTTTCGCTTATATCGGACTGATTTCCAATATCATCGGAACAGGATATTTTTCATTTTAAGACTAAAATGCACAAAAAATAAATAAGATAATTCTCTCTTTCTCTCGATATATATAGAAGTAAATAGCTGTCAATAACTACTGTTTTCTTTATTTTCACCTGATCTAGCTCAAGTTACAGAAGAACAGGAAAAGTACAAAAGTAGGAGTAGCGATACTTCAAAAGATTATTACTTAAGTAAAAGTATGGTACATTAAAAACATTCCAAAAAGTACATTTCTTTTTATTTTACTCAAGTAACTGACTAAATGTAGTTATTTATTGACCTCATCTGACTGGATGTGACATGGTTTTATAATAAAAGCAAAGGGAGTATTTTTATTATTCCATTTTTTAAATCGAATATATTCAGGCTCAATCTAGATTGGGTAAATCGGACACTTAACCCAAAGCGAAAGTACTTCAGGATTTGCCACAGTAAGTGCTGAGAATAAGGAAGGAGGTAGGAAAGGAAGCAGGATGCTTCCTATTATAGTTAATTTATTACAGGGACCAACCTTCCCATCAGGCTTAGAGGGATTCCCATAATCCTTTGCAAAACATGATGCATAGGCATAGCGTAATTATTTGTTCACATGAACTCTGTGTGACACGTGCTAATGTACACATCCTTGGATGTTTGGGGCTTTATAAATGACAGCTTCAGCTGTTATAACTGTGTAACTTTTAGTTTTTGTAGTTCTTTTTCAGCAGGCTGAAGTCCCAGTTTTGAATCATTATCCATCTGTGTTTCCGTCACCCGATGGTGTCCAGAAGGGCTAAATCGGCCCGGAGTTCCTTTCCTACCCAGAGAACTGTTCTGCCTCCAGTGAAAAGGTAAGGAGGAGGAGCGTCTGGAGTTCAAACTATGCACCAGAGCGCACAAAGAGTTGGATGATGTTCAGATGAGCTACAGCAGCAGAAAGCCACTGGGAGGGGCGCTCCTTTGGATAAGAAAGGGGAGCCGAGGCAATTCCCACAGATGGGAAAAATGTTGCCTGGTCTCACATATTTCATTTGGGGATTTTCATCCACCAGATTTATTCCCAGCAATCAATCAGATCTTTTTCAGCGCAGATCTAGCATGCTGAAAACTACATCCTATAATGAGAAATGCTGCTCATAACCCTCAACTCTTTTTAAGCAAAAGAACCAATTATGCTCCATCTTCTGATCTGTATCAGTGGCTTATTATACATATATATAGTTTTTAATTCCTGCCTGCTTTCTGGTGAGTGTAGCTCTTTTAAGGGTGTTTTTCTTTTTTCCTCCCCACATCTGTTTCTCATCACTGTTCTACCATGTGCTGTGATGAGTGTGTTAAAGCATCTGATAACTTTCCACTTTAGGAGCATTCACTAAGGCTACGGTGAGCTGTGGCTTCCTATAATCTTACAGAGACAAGCTTGATCTTCTCTTACTTGACCAAATAATCGCAAAGGTTTTATGCTCAGGAGGAAAAAATTCTGTAATCAAACACCATGAACAGATAAAGCAACCATAACCGCATCCTGGAGCATTGTGTTTGAACAATAAGAGGAGTCCAAACCTGTGGTTTGGTACCAAATGCATGGCTTTAATCAGATGCAGCTGCTTCTGGAGTCTGCATGAAAAGATTAGTAACAACCACTATCAGGGCTGGAAATAAGATCTAAGAAACCAAAGGAGAACTATTGATCAGGAACACAGTGAAACATCCCGTCTAATAAATATATATCTATATGTATTTATTTACTTTTTTTTTTTTTTTTTTTTAAATCAAACCAAGTGAAACTAAAACTTTTTCATCTAAAGAGTTCTGGATAGAGCGCATTGACAGACGTTTTTTTTATTTTCTTAAATGCACTATATATATATATATATATATATATATATATATATATATATATATATATATATATATATCCTGCAATTAAGAGTTTAATTTCTTATTTAAATTCACATCAGCGGCTTTATGTTTAAAACTAGACATAGAAAGTGCTGTAAAAAATTCTCCCTTTGCAGCCATGTTACAGCATTTTCACACATTAAAGCCTGTTTAAAGTCATTCCACAGCTTCTCTACTGGATCTAAGCAAATACTTTGACTAGGCCATTTTAAAATCAGAGGTGGGAACATGGCTCTTATGCTTCTGCTAAATAATTCTATTGTGTCAAATCTAATGTCAACAGCGGGACAGTTAGGGAGTCTCCATTATTTTCTAATAAGTTGTCCAAGCAGGAAAGCAGCCCCACCACCACTGTTCAATGATAGGCTGCTTTCAAATTCAACTCATTTTTCACCAGATTAAACAAAGAAACTAGATTCAAGAAGCTCTCCCTCTGTCTTGGCAGTTAAAAAAACTCATCAAGACGTATGATGGAAAATGGGACAGAGTCTTTTATGATCTTTTGGTGCAGTTTTATTTCAGATCTGTTGCTTTTTGGTTCAGACGCCTTCCTGTTGAGACTACGGTGCTTCAGGAGCTTCAGGAGGTGGGGATGCTGATTGTACGGCAGCATGGCTTCTGTCAGTGTGCCCCAGGGCAGCTGTGGCTATAATGTAGCTTATCCCCATTAGCATGTGAATTAATTAATGGAGTAAAAAGCCCTTTGAAGTCCTCTGACTTGATTTAGTGCTATGTAGTATATAATGACCTGGGAATCAAACCAGCTCAGTAAACCTGAAGTGCTTTAGGTGTTTTGGTTTTGTTGGTGCCCTCCTGGCTGAGGGGTTAATACAACTCATGAGTAATATTAGTCGGTGAGCCCCTCTGAGATAAGGGTTCATGTTTTCTCCATCTGTAGACGGTGCCCTTATGCTTTAAATGGCTTTGTAACCCATTTCAGATCGACAGACTCATTTTTTCTTTTTTGTTGAAGTCCATCCTACTCATATTATATTATATTATGTTATATTATCTGCTTTTATAAGAGTTCCTTATTGTCATAATCAGGACTCAGCTGGTAAATTTAGCCGCAATTTTTATTTATTTACTCAGATTATCTTTAAAATTTCATCCTCTGCACTGCAAATATTTATTTATTCACTTTACTTTTCTTTTTATAATATTATATGCGTTTCTTGTGTTTTTATGTGTGAATGTGTGTGGAAGGTGTACTACTACTGCACAAAATTCACCCATACTGGGACAAATAAAAGCTACTGAACTGAAAACATATAAAAATGATTGAATGAGATTCACAGGGAAATACCTAAATGCTTAACAAGGACGATTTTCTAAACCACTGTGTAATCTTTTATTTTGGAGGGTAGAACCGGAAGTTACCAGTTATATACAGACTAAAGCCAGCGATCCTTTAGCTTTTTTTTCCTCTGGCTCAACAATAAATTTCGAGTAGAACATTTTATAGACACCACCGTTATGCCGTTCTTCTAACTATTATAACTATGGTAAAGTTAAGGATGAATAGCAATAAATCCAGGTCTTTATTGTTTATAACACATCCAACTGAAACTAATCTGGAAACTAAACATTTTGACCGATTAAAGTTTAAATAAAAGATTAATCCCTGTCAGTCGCTCATGAGAGGCTAATTAAAAACCTACCAGGGACAGCTAAGAAGTTGTTAAGTCGAAAAGTTACAGCTACAGGCCTAAAGTTCGCTCTTTATCTGTTTAACAGAAGTTTAAAACAGTATTTTAAATAAAAAAAGACTAATAGTAATCAGCTCAGACCAGGTGATCCGCTCAACCAGGCCACCATTGATTGTGAGAACCAAACATCCTGTTTTTAATTTTCAGATCGATATATTTTTAATATGAAAAGTTTCTAATACCAGCTAGTCTTACCTCCATCATCACCCAGAAATCTCAATCACGTTTTGTTTTTAAAATTCCACTTTTAGTGCTGAACTTCGCCCAAATTTCCTCCAGTATAACATGGCACCCGCTTCCTGATTGTACGCGTACGTGGAAGTGACGTCATCAGACCTAAAAGTGTGTCAACGTTTCAAAATAAGAGTCCGACAGTGAACGCTCCAAAATGACTAATCCATTTTTTCAAAAATCTGTAGGTAAAGAAAATCTTAAAATTGAAAACCTGAAAAAAGTATATATATATATATATATATATATATATTTTTTTTTTTTTTTTTTTTTAATATATATACATTTTCAAAAAACAATTTTTTTTATTAAACAAAAAACGAAATTTTTTTGGTCTCCACTTGAATAACAATTGTCTTTCTTTAAAATTGCTTTATTTACATTTTTAAAGTGACATTTTTTTCATAACTTTTATAATAATGTAATTAAAAAAGGTAAAACTCAGTCTGTTGTCGCCCTTATGTACGAGCAAGAAAAACAATAAAAAAAATAACCAACATACTCTTGTACAACAGTGGAAAAACAAGAACGACAAAAAAAAATACAAAGCATTTGAATGGAACAAAACATTTCTAGAGAGATTCATAAAAATAAAAATTACAAGCAATCTCTTACATACAGACGTGTGCGTATACACATAAAGCAGCGTGTAAGCGGTTATTCCAGGTGTGAAAGGAGATGGTTTTAGGGCATAAAACTCATACTGCACAGCATAGATGATATCGCGCTGAGGAACAATGCAGACCGTACTTTACGCACATGCGGTGCTGTGGTCCGAGCTACAAAGGGCCAGTTTGAGAGCCTGTTTTAGTCTTTCTGAGGCCCTCAGATGGATTGGATCAGGATTTTTTCCATGAAGAACAAACAACAGTACTCATTTGTTTTACTCTGATCTAATAACTAAAAGCCAAGCAGGCATCCAACCATCAAACACATTTAATGATGATATGTGCTTCAAGGGAAGTAATTCATCACTCATGTACAGACATCTTTTTTCTGCTAAAACAAAGATTAAAGGACTAAATGCTGGAATAAATAACAAAAAATATTCTTTTATTACCTTACTGATCTTAAAGAACATTTGCACAATTAACACTGCTTTAATAAAACCTTTTTCAATTGTTCAGGTCAGAAGCCAAATAAATTGTATAAAAAAACAGAAGCAGAACATTTCAAAATCTATTGAAATAAAAATCTGTGCAAGAGAAACAATTGATCTTTGCTTTATAACGAGTTTCTGTTTATAAAAAAAAAAAGGAGTTTGAGAATTTTCTGATACACAAAAGAAAAAGACCAACTGATTTCCTGAAGTTAATCACATAACTCTGACTGAATAGTTCTTTTTTACTCAGTTTATGAACCTTTAGAGTAAAAAAACAAAAACTCTGATGTCAGACATTTAGGCCTCACGTATCAAACTCCTGCAAACGTCCAGATTACATTCTGTACAAAAAGCAACCCTGAGTTTCTTCTCTGAAGCGACTGATACCGATTCATATTTGCTCCGACTTATCGATACACCTGCTTCAAACCGAACACTGGTCCCTTCAGCAGATCAAGGATCACTCAGGTCAGTCATTCACACACACACACTCACACACACACACACACAGAGCTGATTGCTATGGGTTCTCAGTGGGTGAACCGTCACTGGAACATAAACCACCGTCATGACAGAAACGAGTGAAGATGAAGGGAGCTGGCCTGGATGCTGGACGTGACGACCGATGCTGCAGCCGGTGGCGGTCTATCATGACGGGCTCCACACCCCCCCACAGACCGAGCCATTCCCCTCCCGCTCACTTCTCCCCGATTGGCTGCCTGTCGAGCAGCGTCATCCAAGTTGTCTGACCAATCAAGAGTAGATGGTGATGACCTCACTTCCGCCACCTCTGACCAGCAGGACTCGCTCCAGTCCTTCAGTCAGAACCTCCAAGAACTCCATGTCTGGGTCAGGAGTTAATGAACATCTCACAGCTTGGACCAGAGAAACAAAGCAAAATGGCCGGCTAAAGTATTCACACCCCAAATGTTTCAACTTATATGGTTTTTATTAGGAGTTTACCTGCTAGTCGAACACAAAACAGTAAAATTAAATTAAGTAGATCTAAAAACAGGGTTTATACAGGAATGAGTAACTCTAATTTAATGCTCTTTTAATGCCTTTTAGTCCTCTTTACCGTCGGCAGGCTGCAGCCATCTCCACTTTTGTTGAAATTTGCATTTTCCAAATCTCTCGCTTTTTCTCAGCCTCTAGCATTTTTTTCTGAACGTACGGCTTTACGAACAACTAAATGCAATTCCGCGCAAACATAATTCGATATAATATATCTTAGACTTAGACAATTTTTATTTTGCCATTTTGTATACACAAGTGCATACAAAAAGGAATTTTGTTTAAAACGAAATATCTGAAGAAATTGTTTTATAATCGTTTTTTTTTAATAAAGCAATTTAAATGCCAGGGTAATCACATTTAATGAATTTTAATACCAATTAATGCCTTAGTTTAAAAAATAATAATAATTTAATGACTTTTAATGATTTTTAATGACCCCCAGAAATCCTAAAAAAAAGAAAAAAGAAATTGTGCATCAACCAGTCTCTGGAAAGGTATTTGTTACTCTGAATTAAAAAATAAAAAAAAAGAGACCAAATTAAAAAAGCCCTTTTTTTGGACTCATGCTTAGGACTGGGCACCAAGAATTGATTTCCTATCGGAATTGGTTCAAATGGAATCGTTTGAATTTCTTTGTGTTTTGGATTCCTAGTGTTCTTTCAGAAATAGCGAAACAGCGAAGAAGAATCCACAGCATTGAGTCTGAAACAGTCTGTTTGTGGTTCAACATTGAAAGAGCGCCTCAAGTTAAAAAAAATAACTAACCAATGGTTTCATGCAACACTGGTGATGATGTTAACAGCCGGAGTCACTCATCTTTGACCTGCCGCACCGGTGTTGTGCTAAGGTAGGTACCCTGGGAGAATGTATTCCTCCTCTAAATTAGCAAAGCTTCTAGAGGGAGAGCAGAGCCTTTTTTGATTATTCCTTCCTCGTAGTTTACATCCTGACAGATACCTGCCTTGTTTCCTATGGCTTCTGGACAGAACGAAAAGAACTTTATCGCGAGATCTGCCAGACTTTAATAATTATTTTAAGCCCAGGTTAATTGATTGTTCATTTTAGTTCATTTGGAATCTGTTTCTTATGATAAAACCCATTAACTGAAAATCCAAGTACACAATCGCACTGTTTCTCAAAAGTACAACATCTCTACTTTAACATCTGGTTGAATGGAGCTGAGGTGCATTAAATGACACTGAGGACATAAACTGTCAGGATGCTTTCCTGCTGTGATGCTTTTAACATGAGATGCAACTCTGTAGGAATTACTTTACTAAGATTATATTACAGTTCATGGGTTTGATATTTATGCACTGGTTGAAGATTTCTATTAACGTTCACACAAAGTTGGATCTTAAAGGAATTAAATTTAATTTAGAAGATAAGGCTATCTGATCCAGACAGAAATCAGTTAGCCAGTTAATTATAACAGGTAAACTTTTATGATTGTATCTTCTTAAAAGATTGGGAATCGATAGGAACCGGCATCGAAATGAGGAAACTGAACCAGTATCGTTAAAATTCAAATGATGCCTAACCCTACTGCAGTTAGCTGCAGGGTACGTTGCTCAGAGCAGATGTTGTTCTGGGGTGCCAACATTTTAGCTGGGAATGTTTTTCTGAGCATCTAAACGCCCCTTCAGCAGAAAGGATACAGTTCTCGTCTCCTTCAGGGTTCTTCGGGGGTCCTGGCATGTTGAGCAGAACAAGCCGGGCATCGTGGGATTTATTCACGATGACCTCGTTGAGTTTGACGGCGGTGTGCATCCTCCTGACGTTGGAGTGGTCCCTGAAAGCAGAGAGAAACGCAGTTAGCCACCAGCTTAGGCAGCTGATGCGATCAGAGAGGTGGCGGCGTTATCCGTGCTCACGGCCTGATGCTCAGCATGTCCCTGAACCCTTCAGGCGTGGAGCAGCCAGAGTGGGTCGCTCTGTACTGGGCCGTCTTCTCCTTGGTCCACGTCATCTGAACGCGCCGATGGTGCTCTGTGCTGCTGCTCACCGGTCGGTCCCTCTCTCCGCCGTCGGTGTCGTCATCGTCGTCCGACCCGATGCTCGTCAGACGCAGCATTGAGTTACGGTCCTTCACCAACTGGGCCTGGGTTCACACACGGAAACCAACATGGATCCAGCCCAAGAAAGCGATTCTAACCTGATCCGGTTCCTTTTTTCAAGCTCATGTCTTCCTGCTCTGCTCTACCATTAACTCCTGACTGCTATTCTCTGTTTCTCTCACAGCCTCTTTGTACCTGTCTGTCTCTGTCCTCTTTGATGGGGTTTGACGAGCGGACGTCAGTACTCCTGAACCTGGGTGAGAGATACACCTAGAGACAACACAAGGTCACCTAACAGGCTAAAAACCAATCACAGTCTGCCGCTACTCTACCGGGAGCGCTACAAGAGAGCTGGGCTTCCTAAACACACGAGATGTCTGAACTTCAGCGGGAGGAGCAGAAGAGAGAATCTACAGACGGACAGATCTGTAGGAAAATCACTTTAAACAATTAAACCATTTCTATTCAAATCTCTATAAACCTGCAGTTTGTTGAAATCAATGTAATTAAAAGAAGAAAGATGCGTTTCACGTTAAAAATGTCTGCCCTCTCAGAAGTTCAGAGATCTTCACTTACATCTAACTTCACACAGCCTCCTCTTTTCCAGAGCAAATGGAGACACAAAGTAAACTTACATCGTCAAAACTCCAGCGAACCCTCTGAGCAAAACAGAGGAAAGAAGAGAGGACATGACAGTCAAGTTTTGATCCTTTAACCTTTTATTTCCTCCTTCTTTTGCCTCCATAAAAGAGCTAATATTATGTAGAACCCATACAGAAAAAAAAAGAAAAATCCAGGTTGGAACATTCCTATTTAAATCAAATTGGACATCCATACTGGCTTCACAGGGGGACAAAATACTGATATTATAAACTACTAAAAAAAATGTATAATGGAACAGTCAAATAATACATCCTAGATCTGAATAAATTAATTTTTCTCATTGAATACTGTGGTGCAACTTGATGTTGCTGGATGTATCAAGATATGATGTCCCAGATGAGCTTTATTGGATTCAGGTCTTGCAGGAACTGCTCACACACTCCAGCCACATGAGTTCTAGCATTGCCCTGTATTAGGAGGAATCCAGGACCAATGAAAACAGCATATGGTCTCACAAGGGGTCTGAGGATCTCATCTCGATACCTAATGGCAGCCATGCTACTTCTGGCGAGCACATAGAAAGAAATGGCAAAGAAATGCCATCCCACATCATTGCTAACCCACCGCCTAACTGGTCATGCTAAATGATGTTGCAGGCAGCAGATCACTCTCGGATGTGTCTCCAGACTGTCATGTCTGTCACATGTGCTCAGAGTGTACCTGCTTTCATCTGTGAAGAACACAGGAGGCCACTGCCAAATCTGCCCATCCTGCACCGTGTTGGGCTGTGAGCCAAACTCTCATCTGTGGACGTCTGTGGCCCTCATACCATCCTCATGGAGTTGGTAACATTGTTTTCACATACATGCACTCTGGCAGTGCTCCTCCTGTTCCTCCTTGGACAAAAGCAGAGGTAGCGGTCCCGCTGCTGGGTTGTAACCTTCCTCCAGCCTCCTCCACATCTTCTGGTATACTGGCCTGTTTACTGGTAGCGCCTCCAGCCTCTAAACACTACGCTGTTAGACGAAGCAAAGCTTCTTGCAACAGCTTGCATCGATGTCCCATTCTGGATGAGCTGCGCTACCTGAGCCCCTTGTGTGGGTACTAGAGTCAGTCTCATGCTACCATAAGTGTAAAAGCACCACCAACAGTCAAAAATAATTAAAACATCATCCAGAAAGCAAGTACTGTATTTTCACGACTATAAGGCGCACATAAACGTCTTTTTTCCCCCTCAAAATGTGCGGTGCGCCCTTTGGTGCGGTGCGCCCTATGTGTGTTGCAACTGCGACTTTTGAGACCACCTCATTGAGGAGATGATGAAAGAGTGGCTGAGGGAGGTGAATGTAAGGAGACCAGGTGGGTTTTTTCCACTCATCACCATCGCTGTTAATCTGACTCCATGCGTGCCCATCTCACAGCTGATGTGAAAAACATGGTGAAACAAATTAATGCTGTGCTCGCTGTGAACCGGACGCAGCAGGTGCAGCAGAAGCAGCGAGTTTACATGCAAAGTCAATGGTTGACGAGCGTATAGACGCAGCAAAAGGTCCCGCAGCGCGTTTTGAGCAGCAGGCGCAGCGCGTCGGGAGCGCGCCACCAACGCGCTGCTGCTGCTCGAGATGGAAAAATTTAAGTTTTGCTGCTGGAAGCGCTGCATCAACCAATCAGAGAAGCTGATCTGGGAGCTGGCTGTGAGACGACACATCGCTCTGATGACAGATGATATTAGGGCAAATGAAAGGGCTGGATGGATGAGGAGATGATGAAAGCGTGGCTGAGGAAGGTGTATGTGAGGAGACCAGGTGGTTTTTTCCACGCATCACCATCGCTTTTAATATGTGACTCCATGCGTGCCCATCTCACAGCTGATGTGAAAAACATGGTGAAAAAAAATAAACGCTGTGCTCGCCGTTATCCCGGGGGTCTGACAAAGGAACTTCAACCGCTCGACATCGGTGTGAACCGGCCGTTCAAAGTAAGGCTGCGAGCGGCGTGGGAGCGATGGATGACCGACAGAGACCACAGTATCACGATAAGTGGAAGGCAGCGCCGGGCAAGTTACGCCACCGTTTGCGGATGGATTGTTGATGCTTGAACTAACGTGTCTGCTGGCTCTGTTGTACAAGCTTTTGCAAAAGCCGGCATTATTTCTGAGGAGCCGCGCTGCACGGAAAGTGACTGACAGCGAAGAAGGGGAAATTGGCATGTCTGATTTAGCGCAGCTGTTTAATTCAGAAACAGAGGATGATGACTTTGATGGGTTTGATTAATACTTTGTAATAAATACTTGAATAAAGCACAAACATACTCAGTTTTGCTCCCGCTCTATTTTTCTACCTGAAAACTTAATTAAACAGCAGCCTCTGGGCGCGTCTCCTCCTCTTCACCGCGGTGGCTGGCAGGTGTTTTTCATCTAAATAATCTAAATCTTGCAGCTATATTTGCTGTGATCAGGGGGAATAAAGTAGTTTTAATATGTTTTTAAGTGAGAAAGACCACCTGAAAACTTAATAATTGCAGTCAGTTCATCCAGATTATCTATTTCTGTCAGAGGCGCTCAGACCCCCACATACCAGCGGTGCACCGACAGCAGAAATCCCTTCAACAGCAGCCTCTGGGCTGGGTAGCCTCCGGGTTCACCGCGGTGGCTGGCAGGTGTTTTTCATCTAAATAATTTAAACTGCAGGCACCAGGATACCGGCAATAAAAGCGAACATATTCCGTCGTCAGGTTTCAGGATTTTAAGTTAATTTAGGAGTGACCAAAGCGCCCTGTCATCTGCGATGTGTCTGTCTCACGGCCAGCTCCCAGGTTTGATTAATACTTTGTAATAAATACATGAATAAAGCACAGTCATACTCAGTTTTGGGCCCGCTGTATTTTTAAATACACAGTAGAGGTATTTAAAGGTAGTAGAGGATATGTACCTGTATATAAAAAACGCGCCCTATAGTCCGGTGCGCCTTATGTGTGTGTTAAATACAGAAATGGCACACATAACTGAGACTGCGCCTTTTAGTACGGTGCGCCTTATGGTTGTGAAAATACGGTACTGAGAATTGGTGTTTGGTCCCCTCCTGCAGAATCACTCCTTTATACAGTATGTCTTGTTAATTGCAAATAATTTCCTCCTGTTTTCTATTCAATTTGCACAACAGCAAATGAGACTGATTGTCAATCAGTGTTGGTTTGATATGTGTTCCTTTTTTTGAGGAGTGTACAAATACTTTATTTCTACTGTGCAAGTTTATAAAAGGAAACAAAACATGTTACTGCAAAACTGCTAAATGTAGCAATAATAATATTTCAAAAATTCTGACTTTCTTTTTTATTTTCTGCAATTCTCAGATGCTCACCACTTTCTTAGTTTCAGCTTCTCAGGCAGACTATGTAAACTGAAAATTAGAGCTCCCCCTGCTGGACGAATATATTGTTGGAATGCAGAGCCGGGCTGTTAGTTTCTGCATGAACATAACATTAATTCACTGTGTCTTAATAAAACTGGTTGTTTTATCCTAAAAACTGAGTTCTAATGATACGTAGTTTAACAGACTTTACAATTGAAAATAAAATAAAATCAGATTTTGTTTCCATTCTCTCCTAAAATACAATCAAGCTAAACTAGAAGAAACAAACTGACTTTGACGAGTTTGACCTTCATCTTCTGTGTTTAAAATGCTGTTAAATTATACACAGGAGGACTTGTAAGCAACAATGCTTAACTTTTGATTCAAGTATTAGCATAATTTCAGATATATTTGATTATTTTTTTTTAGGTATTTATCCAGAACTTCATGTATTGATGCTCAGTGCAGGCTGCCATTCTCAAAAGCTCCCCAATCAAACTATAGAGGGTCATGTTAAAACATCACTGAATGTGACCCAGAGCGTGTGCGCTCCTCCTTAAACATCAGAGCTAACTAAAATTGAAAGATATGACTCTTCCCTGCTTAGAAATAGTTTGAGATTTAATCTGGAGGAAAAAGTTCCCTTAATCTGCTGATCCAAAGTGTCTGATATCTGATTCTAAGAAACAGAGGGAAGTTGTTCAGCCCCTAGTGGCCAAAATGACACAGTGTACTAATTAAACTTTAATTCATAAATACACAATTAGAGTTATGTTTTATACCATTTGGGAAAGCGTATAAATCGTCTATGGGATGAGAATAAATTAGCGAAGACCTGAAGCTTTCTTGTTTTTGATTTAGTACTTTCCATTCATCAAAGCTCTCAAAGATGTAGAAAACAAAAACATAAGTGCCTCCTTCATCAAAATAAACATATTTAACCATAAAAGCAGCGTTTTCCCATGTTTACCTCTTTTTCCCGATCTGATTTAGAGAGCCGCATTTGTCTGAGCATCTGAGACCTCTGCTCCATCATCAGCGTCCTCTCGTATGTGTAGGCACTGATGTCGCTGTTATGCTGCAGAGAGGAAAGGATACAGGGATTATTACACATCTATTACATAAATTAACACGTCATCGACATATCAGGCGACTACAGGTAGATAAAAGGTTCAGCTGCTACAAACTGAGCTGGATTAGTGGATTCTGGGTTTTTTAAACGCCTTTCTGCATATTGGCTGTTGTTAGCGCTGTACGTGACATTTCATAAGATTCCAGCTTTTATTTTAGGAAGTAATGACTCAGTAGAAAGAAATGTTTGGTTGCAGGCGTTGCTCTGGTTTTAAGAAATCAGCGGATTCCATCTACAGCTCAGAAGAAGCAAAGGAAAGAAAAGTGGGACCTCTGTGTGTTCATACCATCTCCACTACCTCCACCTCAGCTTCAATGCGCAGGTGATAGAGGAACGTCGCTAGATCCTTCTTCATCTGGATGGAGTTATCCTCCATCTGAGCCACCGTAAAGATCCGCATCCTGCATTTACGCCAAACCTGAGAGGAGAGACGTTACCTTCAGAGGACATGTTGGCAGAAACGGATGCGAATGAAACCGATCCGGTTTTCCCACCTTGTGCTGCCGAAGGAGAAACGGCAGCAGCATCAGCATCCCGCCGTCGTGGACGATCCACCACACGTCGATGTAGCCTTCCGTCGAAGGCTCGTTGTTGCTGGGGAACAGAGAGATGTTTTTGGGCACCAGTAAGGCCAGGTGGGCCGCAGTGGTTACCCGGACCGTGTCTGCAGGGAAGAGAGGAGGGCGATCCGTTAACCTGACAGAGGGAGGAGGTGGAAGGAGAGAAACTTTGTGTTTTGATCCTCTGTGACTCACTGATGAAGGTCTTCCAGGACTGCGGGTCCTCACTCTGCCTCCAGGCATGAGGCCAGCCCATCACCACAGTGTTGGGTTTCATTCCTCCCAGTCCGCTGGACTGGATCATGTGGCTGATTCCCTCACGCGGCTTCTGAGCCACTATGCACTGAACGAAGCCCTTCACTCGTTCTTTGTCCATGAGATGCTTCAAAGTCTGATGGAGGGGAAGAAAAAAACAGCATGTTTGATTCTTTCCAAACACAGAAAGATACAAAAGTCTCCTTCAAGCAGTTAAATACAGCCGATCTGTTTGACTTTCTAGCAGGACGATGACTCTAAACATGCAGCCAGAGCAACATTTGAGAGGCTGGGATTAAATCCTGAAGGCCATTCAGAGTCCAGACCCGAATTTAAATGGAAATCCAAACTCAGTTATGATGTAAATGAACATTATTTACTAACAGACGTCTGAATTCAGTTTTTAAACTGTTTATTATGGATGTGATTTTCTTCATCATTTTAAATATCAACTAACTTTGACAAATGTTAGATTTTAATGCATGTGTGTTCATGTGATTTTTCCCAACAGGACGACAGATGAAAATTAGCACCTTGTGGCTAAAGCTGGAATATTTACATGATCAAGTACATTTATTTCCAATGTCTCATTATAAATAAACCGAAAACTGATGATCAGAGATGCTCCCTGTCTGCTCTGACTGAGCTTTCACAAAGAAGAAACAGCTGATAGGTTGTCATTTACTTGGTTTGATAAACAAAGCACTTGGTGCTGCTTTGTTCTAGTCGATCACAGCAGTAACCTTAACAATCCAAAGAGCAATTTTTCTACTTCAGTCTGGTCAATAAAACTCGTTCGGAGTTAAAAATCTTTTTTACGAAAAGAAAGAGATAACATCTATTTAATAAATATCCACCGTCTGACATTTTTTGTTTTTAAACAACCATCGTCCCAGTTCAACTTTAAGGTTTTAAAATGAAGGAAAAAGGTTGAAAAAGTAGATAAATACATTTTCTTTTGTTTAAAAACAAGATTATCCCCTTAAAAAATATGTTTTTTTATCATAATTAGTCAATTGATTTTGTGAATTGAAGAAAACAATGATCGATTGCCACTCAGCTGATAAAACTAAATTAAACCTGCAAACATCACGTGATTGTTAGAAAAAGAAAAGAAAAGAATATAGTTTATATTTAACTAAATCATATTTTAAAAACCCCAACATTTTTCCCCACTTAAAAAAAAAAAAATATACAAAAAAAAAAAAAAAAAAAAAAAAAAAAAAAAAAATATTTTCTTGGAAATTCAATGCAAATAGAGGAGAAAACCCTAAAACATGTATTTGTTAGTTTATCTGTTGTTCAAAAATCTGGATCTTCATCATTTTAAGCCAAAGTGTTAAAGAGCCACCTGCGGCTCCGGGGCCATTGGCTGCAGACCCCGAGTCTATCAGGTTAAAATGGCCGCTCTTCAACGTAAACAGTTCAAAGAGGAATAAACACTTCATCTAGACTCAGTTTGACTTTCAGTGTGTTCAGACTCCGTTCATTCTGGCTGACATGTTGACACAAGCTGACCTGTTCGGCAGCCAGAGCCTCTCCGTACGTCTGCAGGAAGTTCCCCGGGACGACGGTTCCTACGATGGTCAGACCCTTCCCCGCCTTTAGCTGGCTGGCGAACGTCAGCAGGCGTGGAGACTTGACGTGGGCGTCTTCATCCAGCTTTAGCAACACCAACAGCTGGGGCCTGAATGGGGGAGGGAAGGTAACAGCTGATGCATAGAAGGCAGGAAGCAAGGCTGTTAGCTGCGTCACCCTCGCAGCGCTCTCACCTCCAGTTCTTGGTGTGCGGAGGTCCTTCCTCCAGCCTCAGGAGGGCGTAGCGAGCAGCGCTGAGTGACAAACCACGGATACCATCCCCCCACTCCTTCTCTGCTCTGAAAAACACAAACGTGAAAAAATAATTGTTTCAAATCTAAAAAAAAAAAAGAAACTGGACTTAAAGGAATCCTAACCATACTGTACAAGGAGAAATGCATGGAGCAAATATATCACCATGGCAACATACCCGTGATATTCAATGTATTTGTAGATCATGGTGGCGATCACCATGGCGATGATTGCGTAGTACCATGAAGATATGAACATGAGTGCGAGGCAGATGGTCATCCCCAGAAAAGATAAGGACCTGGATGGATGTGGCGCACAGCGTTACCGTGGGATACGCCCCCATGTGTGTAACTGTGTGTGTGTGTCTGTCGCTACCAGTGGTAGTAGGAGAAGCGCGGCCTCCAGTTGGGCGTCCGCAGCAGCGTCTGCAGCGCGCAGGCCAGGTTCACAAACAGGTAACACATCAGGAAGAACCTGAAAGGAGCAAAGCGTCAGAAGCGAGCTCTGAGGAGCTGGAGCGAGCTGCAGCAGCCGGGTGGGCGGGGCTCACATGGTGAGGATAGGGGCGACCAGGTCCAGGGAGGCGATGAGAATCCCCAGTTCAGCTATCAGCGCTGTTAACAGCAGAGCCCAGGTGGGTTCCCCGTTAGCTTTCCCATGTCCAAACACCTGGAGAACGGCACAAGATTTCAGACCAAAACAGAACGGCTAAATAAGCAGGTTCACGATAAGAACCACTTCTAATCCAGATTGATTACAGATCAAATGTGAACAGGAGGAGGTAGACGGGGCTGGAAAGAGAAATGGAGTGTCTCTTTTCTCTAGTCTGTTCACATATCAAGGAGAAACCAGCAGATCTCTACCTAATGCTGCTTAAATATGGAACCACTGCCAAGATTTTTGGTTGTTCATGTTTTCATCCCCTTTGATTCCACAATGATCCGTTAACCCTTTATAGGACAAGTTACCGTTTTGATCCCATGCATACCCCTTACAAATGGAGGTCTAGAAGCGCAAGATCTATATCCAACCATTCAGCAAAGATACTGCGTCATGGCTGTACATCTTATTTTGGCATTTGACAAATTAGATGAACCTTTGAATGATAATTTAACCTACTGGAAATGAAGGTGAAAAATAAGTTAACAAGTCAAGAAAAAGTTAAAATGTTAATAAGCATAGCTAACAATTATTTTTAGGTCTATAAACTAAAAAATGTAAGTGCAAGTATCAGCATTATTGCCTCTAAGAATTTCTTATAGAAGCACCTTTGTTATTTTTCTTAAAATATTCGGTCAAGTTGGCATTTCTTGTTATTACATTAACTTTCATTTTTGCCATCAAAATATTTGTTATACTTTCTGAATGTTATAAAGGTAATAAGGTCTTGTCCTGGATTCCAATTCCAATATTGGCTTGAAATTAGGATTACCAAAGTATTTCGCTGAGCGCCCTATAATGATGCTTATATTTTGGTGTTACATTTGTTAAACATTGAAATGAGAACGAACCGATACGATCAGCTGACTTGTTTAAACAACATGATTATCACATGTTACTGTTTTTTAGGGACACATGATGAGCAGAAAAAGGGCTTTAAATGCACTTAATGTGCAGAACAGCACGTAGGTTCAGAGAGCTAAGTCAGATATCAGGTTAGTGTAAAAACACTGGCTGCATGTCAGCGTGAGATGCTAGAAATCAGGTTAAAAATCAGAGGAAAGAATCATCTAAATAAACAAGAAACAATAATCAGATCTGAGACAATGATAAAGATCTTAACAGCAGAGATTTACTAAAGTTATATTCATTAAATTTAGCATATATTTTTTATTTTTCTTCTGTAAGCTACTCATGAAGTCTTTCAGCTCTCTGAGTCTTTATCTGGGAGGCAGACAATAAATAAAGAGTTCATAAACTTTATCAGGTTAGAGTAAATCCTGCCATGAATATTAGACAAATACACCAAACTGATATGGAAGCTCAGTAAACTGGAGCTAATATTAATAGAAAACTCTTCATGTATGTTTAGAAAGCTTCACATCAAAGACTAAAAATTAATCTTATAGTGGAGTCTGAAATAAAGCAGTAAATCTGCAGCTCCTACCCGTAGGAATGGGATGATGTTGTCCTTTGCGATGGCCTGCAGCAGTCGGGGGGCGCCAGTTAGTGACTGCAGACCGGCGCCGCACGTTGAGAAGAAAGAACCAATCACAATGACCCAAGGAGACGGCCACGCCAGGGTGCCCACCACCAGATTACCTTTAACCGAATCGCCAAACCTGGAAAGGTGAGAAAGCTTTAATTTGTCTGAGTTTCTAAAATCACAGAAGAAGTAGTTTTCTTTTTTTTTTTATCTTGACAAAACAAATCAAAGGAATGGGTAGAGAAAGACTGACTTGTCTCTGAGGACGACCCCCTCGATGCAGGCTCCGAACAACACCACGCTGCTCAGGTCTGCAAGAGCTGGACTCAGGAAAACAACCTTCCAGCTTTAAAGCATCAATCCCAAAAGTCAGATATGGGTGATTTAGTGAACAAAGTGTGGCGGGGGAACCAATGAGGGAGCTGCTACATCTAAGGTTAGTGTTGCAGTGCATAGTCATTTTAACTATTGTGTGTGGGAAAACTCAAGATACATAGAGTATATTTGATATATCGCCCAATCTCTAAATATGCAGAAAGAATTTAAAAATGAAAGGAATTAATTGCAGTATTTGATAATAGATTAAAAAATGTATAATCCCTCTTTAATAGTTATATGTAAAATGTTAAATGAGAAAACAACGGATTTCCAATTGTATGATTCAAATATTACATTTTAAAGGTGTGTTTTCATACAGTATTTCGGGGAATCTCTTGGTCCTCCATAGCTCTTAACCAGAGGACTTGCATAAATAAGCTAACGCTAATATTAGATTTTTGTTCAGCATATCTTAATTACATGTAAAGCAGAAGCTGATGTTTTTAAAGATGAAGGATACAGACGAGGGAAGTTGTTAGGATAGCCAGGATGGTTCCGATGGGGATGGAGCGCTGAGCGTCTTTTAAATCCCCTGAACGATTTGAGCCGGCCATGATTCCTGAGGAAGATTAGAAAACAGGAACAAAACAAAAATCATCTTTTCTCATTGTTTTTATTTACAGTGTGAAGATTCAAAGACATATACCATCTAATCAGGAAGTAATAAAGATCAGTACTGCAAAGCCTAACAGATGCAGTTCATGTACCTGTCTGGTATTAAGATTGAGGACGTTAGTAATTGATGTAACTTAAGTTTAAAAAAAAAAAAGGATAGTTTCATGTTTTAAAAAATCTACTAGCAAAACTATGGAAAATGTATTTGATTTTACAGAATCCATCCTAAACATCTTTAGAATAAAGCCACTGAAACGTACCTGTGACTGAGGGGAAGAAGATCCCCACCAGGAGGGTGAAGGAGGTGGTGATGTCTGCGAACACGTAGGGATGAGACGCTGCAGGGGGGGGAGCAGCATGGGACGAGCTGAGCGAGCTTTTCTCCACCACCTCTCCCTTGCTGAGGTAGGAGCTCCACAGGTTCTCTGTCAGGAGGAGAAGCATACTGGGAGGTTTGTTGGGAGAACTACAGTTTAATGGCTGCAAACACTAGTTGGTGTATTTTATCGGGACTCTGTGTGACAGAGCAAAGCACATAAAAACCCACCAAGACACAGCTGTCCGTCTAAACCAACTGTCTGGACAGAGAGAGACTTTATCAAGTGCAGTAGCAAGAAGCTCATAGTTAAGGGCTGGTTATACTCCCGCAGCAGTGTGTCGCAGTGAGCTTGTCGCAGATGTTTTTAATTTATCCTCCACTATAGCTTTAAAGCATTTTCATGGAGAAAAACTTTAAAGCTATAGTGGAGGATGTTCTTTTCCAGGTGGACCATCTAAAGAAGTGGTCCTCCTAACTGTCAACCATTCTGGTGATATGTTTACGTAAGGACGTCATAAGTGCTCGTCCCCATTTTTACTTTGCTCCCCAAGGGGTTGCGTTAAATGCAGTGCTAAATTTCTCCACTGTGAGATTAATAAAGTTCTATTATTATTATTATGATTATATTTACTACCAGTGGCAAGTCTGACATAGTGTAAAAGTTGCAAATCTTCTTTTGGAAAGTAAACCTGTATGAGCGATGGAAACAGCAACTTTTAAACAGAGCGTGCACGAGGACAGAGAGAGGGCGGGTCTTTTCAAAACTTTGCGAAACTCTTCCTCTATACATTTAAGGTGAATGTAAATATAAAAAAGTAACTTGCCTTAATATGGAAAAAAAATATTTAGAGTGCTTCTAGAAAGCATGAATTTAATGAAAAATACACTGAAAGAAAGAAACAAATGTTTCTGTTACAGCATAAAGGTTGATTTATCCTTGTTATTTTGCACAGATGAGCTGCAGGTTGAGGCATCTGCAGCTTTTCTCCCCTTTCTGTTCGGCTCCAGGGGGGGGGGCGTGTTCAGCACAAACTGCGACACTACAGGTGGAAATAGAAAATAGCTGCTTACAACTTTCTCAAAGTCCCTTCATGCTTTCCAACAGCCATGTCTCCCTCCGCCGCGGAAGGAGACATGGCTGTTGTTGGGCTCGCTGTCTGAATGACGGCGCGCACTGATACGAACAGAGAGAAAATAGGACCAATTGATAACGACGTGTGACTTTTTCAACTACAATGTTTTTGGGATGCGAAAATATCACTCTTTTGGACACATAATGTTTTGGGAAGAGAAACGTTTTATTTCGCTGTTCCTAAAAACCTGCAGGACTACTTTCGGCTTGACCAAAACTGGACGATAACTCTGCTCACAGGACGCTGCCAGGGGTAAGTCAGTGTGATTGCATGCCGCTTGTGATCGGCATGCCATACAGATTCATGTCAAAAATACCGAACTATCCCTTTAACCCTCAGAACATTAATGCTGATACTTACTTTTTAACTTAGCTTATTAACTTTTTCTATCTTATTTTTAACTGTTTAAATCAGCTTTTTTTTTTCCTTCAAGTGAACTTACTAACTTTTTCACTTAATCTGCACTAAGTATTATATCAAACATATTAGGCAACATTAGATCCATGTTTTATGAAGCAGCTTTGAGACAGAGGTGAATCCTGCAGACCACAGTTTGCCTTGTTTGCAGCACAGTGGTGAACCCTGATTTTATAGGTAAAAATAAAACAAAATTGACTTTATTTCTATATTTAACAAATAAAATAATAGATTTTAGATATTAAAGCAATGCTAACAGAAAAAGAAAACATTCCCCCTACATTATTGATTGTGCCTCATTACCGTGAAATGGAAACATAAGCAGGAGTATTAATGAACTGGTTGCTGACGCTACCTGAAATGATGCCACTTGCCAGTCCAGGGATGCCATCAATCTCAGAGAAGTTATTGGAGCTGAAATATTCGTCACAAGTCGTGTTGAGCTCTGGGCTATGGCAGAATGCCCTCCAAAGATCCGTGGTCTTTTCCTCCACAATAGAAGCGACGGTGGAAACGACGGTGGGTCCAGCTGTGCTGTTTTCTAGCGGCAGGGTTCAAACATATTAGCACGAACTGACAATGAAAACGACTGGCCAAAGAGCAGAGGCATCCACCCACCGTAGAGAACCGTGAAGTTACTGTCATAGCTCTCCGTTGTGTATTTTATCTCCACATTTATTTTCCCGCACTCGCCGTCATTAATAAAGTGGCTGTTGATTGTTCTGTTCCCCAGCATGCAGACTCTGTTGAAGAAAAAAAAAAAGCACCCAGAAATAAATAAGAGAGAGGAACACACAAGTGAGTACGTCATGATTATAAAAAATATACAGTACTTTGTTAAAGTATTTCCAGATTTTATTACACTGCAACTCCCAATTTAACTGAATCTCATAGGGATTATCTGTGAATCTGAAAGGTGTGGCCTGTATATATTGAGCCCGTTTAAAGTCTTGAATACAGCTGGATGTTTTTAAGGACTGACTGACTGATTACCAGTCTGAGCTCATTCACACTGAGTCAAACCAGCTCCCTTCTCTCAGTGGAAGAAAGACTCTTTCCACGGCATGATGCAGCCACCGCCATGCCTGATGCACTGCAGCTCCTCCAGTGATGCCCTGGGATTTTATGTTGCCTTTCTGGTTAATCTTCGCCATGGTCTGTCTTTCAGGTTCACCTTTATATCTTTATAGGTGTAACAATTAATTGAGCAGCAGCTTTGACTTGTATCAAGAGGATATTTCTAAAACATGAAGAGCTAAATATTCTTTTTATAATATGCTGATTCAAGAAAAAAAATTAAGATCATAATATTGTTTCATTTGTATTAAATACTGTCTGAATAAAAAAAAAATTCTAACTATCTAAGTGCTTCTAGTTTTAATATATCATATAGTTTTGTTTTCTATAGAGATGTAACACATCATTACCAGGCAGGGTATGTCACTCTGACATGCTATGGGAGCTGGTATAGCTCTGGTTTGACTGTAACAGAGTGCTAAGTGCTGAGGCAGACTCTGGTTGCTCTCAGACGAATATTATGACTTTGCTATAAAGTCAGAATTCTGTGCTTTCTTAAGAGGCAGGGTTGCCTGAAAAGCAGCCAATCACAGGCAGTTTACTTTCTCAGACTGGTTCCACCCTCTAAGTGAAAAAAGTTGACTGAAGCACAGCTTATATGAGTATAAAGCACACATGTACACTTATTGCACAATTCTAACCACATATTTGACCCCATGAACCGCATTAACTCCCAGAAGCGCACAGTGCTCGTTGCCAGCATCTCGTTTTCAGTCATGTAAGAGACGTTCAGAGTAAAGCCCGACACTTCTCCATCATCACATCCTCACCAATCAAGCTCAGCAGAGAACTATGCAGCACGGTTAAATAAGCGCCATTAAGTGACAGCTTAAGAGTTAATTGCATAATTCGAAAATATCTGCGACACATTGCTACTGGAGTATAACCAACCCTCGACTCTGGATCAATGCATGTTTCTGTTCTAGTGTGGCTCCTCTGCTTAAAAATGAGCAGTGGTGCCTCTAATGGACAGCAGCAACACTACAACACTATGATACATTGCTTTTAAACCGATGTTATCAATTAATCACAAGGAAACAATTTTAATCAAATAAACCAATAATTAACAATTGTTGGCAAGTTGATTATTTGTCTAAATCTCCATACAAATAAGTTTCTGTCTAAAGAACACTTTCATCCTAATATATTTCATCGTAATTGGTTTTGAAACGAATCATATTCCTCCCACTTCTCGTCAACCTTTACATCAGGTCGACGTTTTGGCGGATTTGTTACGATCCCATGTTGGGATGATGTTTAAGACATCAAAATCAAATTAAATACTTAAGAACGGATGATGAAATAACACAGGTGGATCCCATTTTCCGTTAAAGTGCCGCTGGTTGCTTACACTGGATTTTATCACTTTTATTTTTGGTTATCAGATAAAAGAGGCCTACATATAAACATACTGCTGCAATGTGACAAAACATAGAAAAAGGTTAAAAGGGAGTATTTCTAGGAGGTACTTACGGAAAACTAGGTTTACTGAAGGCGGAGACCAACGCCCCTACGTAGATGGAAACAATGGAGACGATGACACAGGCCAGGAAGATGGAGGCCAGCTTGTTGACGTACTTTACACCCACAAAGACCAGCAGGGACATCAGGAGGAGACAGATGCTGCCGTAGACCCGCATGTTGTTCAACATGGCCGCTCCCTCGCCTTTAAAGATTGCAGCCTGAGGTACAATGTACATCTGAGGAACAAAGGAGAAGAAAGCGTTGAGGAGAGGAAATATAAACACTTTTATTTTAGGTTATTATCAATTACTTTAGATGCTTGATGTGTGTTTATTACATTTAAACACTAGAAAAGCACTCTGATAGCAAGAGTGTAACTTTGTGATGAAAGTTGGAGGCAACACTCTAAGGGTGGGGGCTGATGGACCTACAGTTAATCAATCTGAACGCTTTCATCGGGTTTTTGTATTTTCCAAAAACGAGCTCAAACACATATTTACTGAATGCCTTCCTATTGTTGAGAACACAAGACAACCATAATAAGCGGATATTTATATTTAACAATGTAAGACAGATGCCTTTTAGTGCATTTACATACGGGGGGCCCAAATAAAAAAAAATAAAAAATGAATAACAGCCGATTCTGATGCCAAAAATCGATAAATCATACACCCCTACAATTTACAATTTCAATTCCATCCATCCAGTAAAATATGCATATGCTTCATTTTAAATATAGCATAGCATATTTTTTTCTTGTAAACTTTCTGGTAAACCTGGAGATCTATTTTATTGCAATGTTTCACCTTTATATCTGCAATTCTCCCTACTTCTCTCGATGCTCCGTTTAAAAATATTTATGAACCTCTTTACATATATACATACATATATATATAACAATGCCAGAAACTAAATTTCAAGATATGTAGAAGCTCTGCAGTCTGATATAATAAGAAAACATGTTCATTTTAACCAGTAACTGGGAGTCATGGTCCTCTGAGAAGCCAAGATTTTTTTTAACTAGTAAAGAAGAACAAACTAGGTTTTCTCAAGCTTCTTGCATTATATCAATATATCACTGTATAAATTTACAATCTGTTGCCATTTTAGCTGAAAAAGCTCCGTATGTCTAGGAAAAAGATTTTTCAGATCTCAAATTTTTTTAACCAACCAATCTCTTAACTTTTACTTAAACATCGAAGTAGCTGCTGGTTAATATTCACTGAGTGCTGCTGTGTGTCTCTCCTCCAACCACGTAGCTACTTTGTATGCAGTGAAAGGCGACCGCAAATCAGATGCCTCAAAGCGACAGATCTGATGATATAACACCGAAAGGTGGGAAACGGGAGCAGCGGGAGAGAGGGAAAAAAACTGACTCAAAATGCTCTGAACACAGATAGCTGCACCCAACCTCTGTTACCTTTGGCCAAAGCAAATGAGCGGAAAGGGGGAAAAAAAGTGGAAATAATTGGTGGAGACTAGGGGTGGAACGATTCACAAAATCCACGGTTCGGTTCGATTCACGGTTTCTGGTCACGGTTTTCGGTTCGATTCGATACATGTTGATTGTTACACCGAAATTCCATAACAAATTATGAAATTAATGAAAAAAATCCCCCCAAAAATAATGGATTGTAATTATTTTTAATGATCCGCGGAAACCCTGGATCATTTCCGTATGTTTTGCTGCTTTGAATTTAATCATCTGGCGCATGCTCTCTAACCTGACAACAGCCAGATGCATGTCTCGCTCCACCACATGCATCTGGCTGTTGTCAGGTTACATGCTCTCTACCATCTCCAAGGAACTCAGAGGGGAGCAGACGAAGCCACAGTGGGGGCTGTAGGCTTTGCTTTGAGCAGCCGGTCTGTAGCGCAGCGGGGGTTACTGACGGAGTATGAGGGATTTCGTGGTTAGCATGACATGTTGCTGTTAACAAACAAAACGTGTTGCACAATGCTTGCACACTGTTGCACTTTTATCCACAACTTTCTTTCCGCCATCATCGTAGGTCACTCTAAATGCAAAGCGCTCCCATACAGCAGACCTATAAAGTGCTGCTGGCGCGTCTTCCAACTCCAGTTCTTTCCCACTCGCCATACCCACACAATTCTCCACAACAACTGATTTTTTTCCCTGCTACACCCGGCTAAGCTGCTTCGCTTCTTCTTCTTCTTGTTTACTACTGGCGGTTGGCTTTGGTCGCAGTACCGCCACCTTCTGCTCTGGAGTGTAATCGCTTCCACTATGAGAAAAAGGAGCAGCGCATGAACTGAACGAAACACACGCGAACCGAACCGAGATAGTCGAACCGAACGATTCTGACGGTTTTCATAAATCGTCCCATCCCTGGTGGAGACTGTCCACACCAGTCCTTCAGAAAGTTACGCCTGTTTCTGAGCGCACAGACCTCCACCAAGCAGCACATTTTGCCCCATATGAGATTTATACCTACAGCTAAAACTCACATATGATCTGGATCATTATCAACATATAATGGATTGTTTCTTGAACTGAGGTGCATCTTTGACATTTCATTAAAATCTAATCATAACTTTTCAAGTTATCCTGTACACAGACAAACAGAAAAACACAAACTCCACTACAAACATAACCGCTTTAGGGGAGGTAATGACTGAAGCCGAGTCCTACCAAGAAGATCTCGATGGCTCCCAGGATGTACATGGCTCCAGCGAAGGTGGTGCCCAGGTAAAAACAGATCCCCACGGCTCCACCGAACTCTGGACCCAGAGAGCGGCTGATCATGAAGTAGGAACCTCCAGCTGGATGGAAGGGAGGGGGTACAGCGGGGGGGGGGGGGGGGGATGATGGGAGAAAACCAGGAAGTAAGAAGAGAAGAAAGACGAGAGGAGTCAGAGGAATGGTGGAGAGAAAAGGAATGGAGAGTTGGGGAGGGTGAAAGGAGAGAGAAGAGGACAGCTGATGAGTTAATTCTCTCTATGCTTACAGATGGTTTAAACAGAGCTGAATGGAGTTAGCAGACAGGTCACATTATCAGGAAAAACTCAGTATATGCAAATGAAGTCAGACGTTTTTGTCTCATTTAACATTTGGACTAAGAAGAAGTTCAGTTCAGATACATTATAATTAAATATTAGGCTGATTTCACTCAGACTGATCAGCTCTTATATTAATATGATGCAATCGTAGCATCAGCTTCAAGCTTTATTGTAGCCCATTCGTCACTAAATTAAAAAGTTCAACTGAGAGAAAATTATGTTTTTGTTTTTTATTTTTAATCCGCTCCCAAGGTCTCTTTACTCCAGAGAGGCATGTGATGATTAGGGCTGGGGATTTTCGCCAAAGTCCTAATTCCATTCGATTTTGATTCATACAATTCTAAATTGATTAATTTCGATTCAATCTGTTTTTACAATAATGGAAGTGGTTCAACTGTCTTTCAAAATACTCATGTAATTAGTTTTTTCCTGTCACATTAAACACAAAGTGCAAACTTGTAAAGCAGACAGTTTAAATATGAGATGTGAACAAAACTGTGTCTCAAAAGTGCAAACTTTTGCCTCACTCAAGCAAGCAGATTCAACACAACAGACATTCTTGAGCTGCATTATCTTCACTGCACAAACAATATTTGCAGCGTTGTCTGTAACAACTACAGGGTGTTTTCTGATCAGCCCCCATTTGTTAATGTCTTCAGTCAACCTATTGGGTATATTTGAAGCTGTCTGGCTTGAAGTCATCTTAAGTGCATCTTTCCTGCTTATTTGAATGTGAACGTCACACGGGTCACTATAAAATGAATCGATCTCATTACCTAGACATCGATTTTGCAAAAATGTAAAGGAATCGATTAAATCGATTTTTTTACCCACCCCTAGTGATGAATATGCAGTACAGGCTGAGATGCAGGACGTGTTAAATGACACTGAAGTGTAATTTGCTCAACATGACACCACTATGTTAGATTTTTCATTAAGACTGTTTTTTCCTCTTCGTGCATCTGTAAGGTGAGTGTTCTTCCTCATAGGGGAAACACAGCGTTCTGCCTTTGTAGCTCATGATAGTGATTGGTCTACTAGCATGAACCCGCCCCTTTATACGTGCGCGTTCACAGATTCATGATCAGTCAGAGCTGGATTGAGTTAGTGATCTGATAACCAGGTTTGAGGTAACGCTGATCCTGATTGAAATTATTGTGGATAAGTTTAACTGGATAGGCTGGGAGTAAAACCACTAGGTTGAGCTCACTGTGTGGGACGGGCTTCAGGCGTCTGTCAAATCTTTCATAATTAGAAGTTCTCATTCCTCTTCAATAAAGAAGAGTATCTGAGAACATTAATTTGTCCTGCAGCTTTTCTTTACAGCCATATAGTCGCACAGAAGCACTAACAACTCGTTGAGTTGACAGAAGGTAAAAAAAAAAACTGACATAGATTCCTCTTCACATGATACCAGGTGTCACCACACTGATAAACATACTAAATAAATTGAAGGCACATGTTGTTTGGCTCAACTGGAGCTAAATAAGCCTGGAGGAATTGCCAGACTGTAGACAACTTCTACCCAGTGTGGGTGGACTAGGATGCTGAAATTAGCACAGAGGGAGAAAAAGAAGGTTGGCAGAACTTAAGCTACACGTCATACAATTGATATGCTATCAGTTGTTGACAGGAAAACAACCGTTACTGTTTCTTCCTACAAATTGTAAACACAGAGGCAGAGGATGCGTTCATCTTTGTTACACATAGTGAGTTAACACCAACACCTTTACTGAATCTTTGGTCAATTCTAATTGATGTGTTTGCTAATTTCTCTGCAACTATTAACTGTTTACTTTCACAAAAAAAAGAATAGCTAAGAAATAAGCCAGTGCATTTTAGGCCTTTTTTCTTTCCAGATCTCAAAGATCTTGGCTGGCGGTACAGCTGCACTGAACAGAATTCAGCAGCACAGAGATGTGAAGGTGAAGCTTCATCAGCGAGGACTCCACACACACCTTTGCCATCAATGAAGCTGGCTAATGTCTGATTATGGTTAACAAACTGGTGAAACAGCTGCTTCTCATCTCTAGAAACTCTCCAGACCAGCTAATGTCCATTTCCCCGAAACCTGGTTCAGTGAACACCCCCCTGACTGCATCATTTTACCATCTTGATTTGCTCTTGTGCTGGTGTGGTGATGTCAAAGTTTCAATCTTAAGAAATCATAAAACGTTTTATTTGCAGACAGAGTTCTCCTTTGTTGTTCTGAATGCTGTTTAGATTCCACCAAAAGCCTCTGCATCTCTCATCATTGTTTGTTGGGATTTTAAAAGCATAGTCCTCCTCTCTACCCAACTTGTAAACCTCAGCATATTAGGTGCTCCACTACAGATTAAAACACGCTGATCCACAGTTACAAAGGTTTGGATTTTCTATAGAACATAAAAAACTTCTAGGCTCGTTGTTCAGACCATCAGGAAGCAAAGGAAGAACTCACACTAAATGTTACAAGCCTGCTTTGACAGCAAAATTTAGAGCGTGTATGCAACTTCCTCCACAGATCTGAATGACCTATTAAAAGACTTTCTGCATATACTGCGAACAAAAATCATTGTTCTGATCCAAGGAAGCTACATCCAATCAAGAAATTGGTTTACATCAGGGATGAGACCCTAAATAAACAGGCCATATATTAAATGACCTAAGAGAAGCTAAAAAAAACAGCTCCTCATATAAAGACACAGCAGTATTTTGGAATGGCCCCCACTCCTCTTATTTCTGTCAACACAATGGCTGCACATCAGCAGACCCATCTGTTAAACTCTTAAAGTTTGTAAACGACACAAACACAATTATTGCTGGTATGATCCAAAGATGGGACTACATAGACAGAAAGTTCCTTCTCTCATCATCCTCAACGGTGGTGGATCACTTCCTGTTTCTAGGACCAGCACTATCTCAGGACATGGGATGTTCCCCACACATGGACAATATTCAGAAGAACCAGAAGTTCAACTCAAGAAGGACAACCTTCCATAAGAGCTTTTAGTAATTCTTTAGTTTTATTCAGACTGTCCAATGTTTACCCATCTCTGAGAGGTTTGGCTCATCCCCACAATCAGGTGGGTCTAAATTACCACCCATGTTAGATTTGGAAAGATGATTATCAGGGTGAACTTCCCTCTATCTAGGACTTGTGCGGGTCTAAGGTCGGGAAAAGGGTAGCTAACTTTTCTGCATACCTAACAAATCACAGACCATTAAGACTTTTACCTTTAATTCAGACCTACATGGTGCTGATAAAAAAAAAGAAAAAACAGCCCACGGCACAGTTCCTGTTGTATCTACAAAAATATTATCAGTATTTTTTTTTTACACATTTAAAATATCTTATTATGATTATATGTCACCAATGACAAATTCCTGGTTTCCACAAACTTCTCTAATGAAGCTCAACAAATTAAAACCTGCTTTATTACAGGAATCTGGAACATTGAACCGGCTTGCTAAATACCATAAATGTATTTAGCAACTCTTTATTCCCAGACTATGGGAAAATGTTTTCCTTTACCTTGCTTAACTGGCTGTGTAGGAGGATATATTTGTTAGCTGTGTTTACATAACAAGTCAGAGAAGGAGTGGTAACTGCTTCCCCAGCAACAAACCCTAGAAAACCAGCCTAAACAAAAGCTCCTGGGAACCAAAACAATAGATAGGGATTCATCTTGAGACGTATTCTAGTAAAACAGGCTGGAATAAAAGTTTTGAGGGTTAGAAGAAACAGCTGACAGTAGCTAGCAGGGAAATCTGCATGGCCAGTAGCTGATGAGGTTTTCTGTCATCATTCCTGGAGTCCTATGAATGGAAGATAGACATTCCCCCGGCTGCGTGATAAAAGGACTGACAGCCACTCCCCGTCTGCTGATGCACATCAGCTGGTTTATAAGACAGACTAGCTTAGCTGTTTGCGACACAAGGTATTGTGTTAGCATAGTTTATTAAAAGTAAAATAAAACCAGGCGTCTGTCCCACGTACATGTTGCTCTATTGTCCTTCTTGGGTGGATTTTTCGAGAACAAATGTTGTTGTATTCATTAAAATAACAAGCAACAGTGTTCTGATTCAGATTTTCTCAACAAGTAGATTTATTTTAATGGAGATGTTATAACCATAATGTTTTTTTCGGGGGCAGTATGTTTAACAGCTACTCTTCTGATTTAAAATAAATAAATTCTTTAGCATGAGAATCTAACAGATATCAAAGGAGACTGGGTTATTTTTTGACAAATTAGTAAACCTGTCTAACCAGAGTGGGAGAGTTTTAATGTCTGCTTTAAAAGGGAAAAAAAAACTAGTGGATGTAGGGAAACAGGTCAGGATGAGGAGTAAAACCTAAGAAATCAGTTCTGAGATGATTCTATCCAATAAAATAAGCTAAATATATGCTGAACTCTCTGCCAACATTTAATGTATAAATCTGGATTAATATATGAGACAAAGTTTGAGTATTATCGAGATAATATGGTGTCTTTTAGTGATGAATTCTGTGTTGTATAAATAAAGCAGTGAAAGTAATCCTGCACCTGTCGAGTTACCGGGATTATATTTATCCGTTTGTGCAGAGAAATCAATTGAAAACCTTAAAGAACGGATCTGGGAGGGGGGTGGTGATAGAAATGCCACAGTCTAAATAAAACAAGCCTTCAAACCCCTTCAGAGACTGTCTGCAGGATTGTTAGAGCCAGGCAGCATTTGAGAAGCCAAACACCTTTCTCCTCCTCTCTATCACCCAGAATAAACCAGATTGAAACGTCGCTGAACACCATCTGACACTGGATGGAAGAAGCTGTTAGAAACAAAGACATGTTTTCTATGCTACACCTGATTTAGTTTCATTTTTCCTACAAACATGGACATCCCGTTATGCTCACATTGCATTAAATGGGTTAGATACAATCTACACACACTTAGGTGAAAAATAAGGTCAGTGGAAGATAAATATGAGAGAGGGAGGGTCGAACAGGGTGGCACACAGAACAAAAGAGGAACTTTATCAGCATTGCTTAAACGTTAAGATCAGACATAAAAAAAAATGGAAGGATCTGCATCCACAGAGATCACCCTGATGTGTGTGGTGAGAAAAGAGGATCTGATGGTAAAGACATACCTGGCACAACTCCATTAGTGGCGATGGCGCTCATTGATATTGCAGTCAGCAGCGTCTGGAAAGCAGAAACAACCCCACATACAGTGTTATCACAGAAGGTTTTAATACTCCGAGTGTTTGTGGATGCATGCTGACGCTTACACAGCAGCAGCATATGAAGACGATGCCGAGTGCCTGCAGCACGCCAGCCGTCCCCACCACCCATGTCAGCCTCAGGAACAGGATAACTCCGAAGATGTTTTGAAGGCAAGGCAGGTAAACGCCCATGAACGTCCCCATCTGTGGTGACTGGAACAGAAACAAAGATTGTTTGACAGCAGGAACGACTGATGTTTCTTTTAGATTTCTTGACATATATATATATATATATCTTTTTTTATGAACTCATTTTTGAACTCATTCCCCTGGGGAGCATTAGGCTGCTATTGTGCGATGCCCGGGGAGCAGTGTGGGGTAAAGGGTCTTGCTCAGGCTGTGGGGATCAAACAGGGTACTTGTAACCTTCTCAGAGCACAAGCGCACTGCTCTAACCACCAGGCAAACACTCCCCCTTAATATATTCCCCATATTATAATCCTGAATCACAGCTCGACTTCCTGGAGGCTCAGGTCCGCTATGTTTAGTTCCTCGTTCAACTCCCTCTGGTGGCCTAAAGAAGTTCCGTTTTGTGGAGCGAGTTTGCTGCCGTTTTCACTATATAAATAATTTTCCTTCCTGTTCTTTCAACATTTTGTTTGTGGTAGCAGGATTTTTTTTATTCAAATTTCTTCAACATTTTTTTGTTAGCAGGATGTTTCTGTTGTATTTATTTTTTATAATAACATCACACATGTTTTTGCAGCTTGTTTCATTGTTTGCTGCACGTTTGCACTTACTTTTGGTTATAAAACCAACTTTTAGAAACATTGGTGCCAATCAGTGTCTCTTTAATCTCACTAACACAATTTAGTGAAACTGTCTATATCATCTGGGTTGAAATAAATAGACTAACCAAAACAATCAGTGTCAAAACAGAAACTTTAGATGGTTATTCAGGATTTTATTTGCTCTTGTCTAGATTTTTGTAAGACATTGTTTTATATGTAATATTAAAAACAGCTGATCCACTGTAAGCTGGTCCAAACCTGCCTTTATTCAGTTTTAATGTCTTTGTAGCTTTGATTTCATTCAGAAATCTGGACTTTGACTTTACAGGGCCCTGCAACCTCCAGCTCCATCTTACAGTAAATGACTTGGTTGTTAAAGTCACATATCAAAGTCTGAGCCTTTCAGACGTTTAAGCTAAAATCCACTAATAGGGTTCAGAAATAAAAATAAAGAGCCATTGTTCTCCTAAGTCTAATCTTTAAAAAGCAGCTACAGACATCCTTTTATTTTAGATATTGTTTTAGGATTTTCTTTTAATTGTCTGGATTATTTATAGAATGGTGCTGATAGCAAAAGTGGGAAATGCCATCCACTGAGCAGAGAATATATTCATCGGACACTGACTTTATCACATCGGCTAAAATGTGTCTCCATACAAGTAAAGTCATGTTCGTTCGAATTCATCTGTCCACCAAAACTCTAAACTTAAGGGGACTCATGCGTAAGAAATATGAAAACATTAAGAATATGTTTAAAAGTTTCCTTTTTGTTCATATTTCAAGAAGGGAGGTAATTCTCAGCAAGCAGCCATTTCCTGCAGGTAAATGAAAATGTGGACGAGTACATAGGACGGCCTTACGTAAACATATCACCACGATGATTGACAATTAGGAGGACCACTTATTTTGATGATCCACCCAGAAAAACAACATCTCCACTATAGCTTTCGTCATGATTTAAAAGGGGATTTAAAAAGGCTTTCAAAGGCACACTGTGTAACTTTTGGCCACTAGGGGCACTAGACCTGTAACTTTCACGTCTAGCTCCCCTAATAGTCACTACCGCCGCAGCACTGTCACAAAGGTCAACAAACAGATAGCCGTCTAGTTCCTGTGTCTTTTATTTGGGGATAGCACTAGGCGTCTAGGTTGATCTCAGAGGGCATGAGAAACGCTGCTGCTCTCTGGAAAGCAACGCCGTGGCAGGCTGGACCTCGCCACGTGACGCAGAGGACCAGCGGCGGAGCTCCACTGAAGAGCCACTGGGTCGGACGGGACATCTCAGTTAGCCGTTGTTTGTAGCCTTCTAGCTTTCTCTTCCCCTATTTTGCTTCTACTTAACATCAAAAATAATAATAAAGCTATATGAGTGTACAGTAGGAGCAAAGTGTTACCAGTCTAATAATAAAGTTGAGAAAAAAAAGAATCTGTGTTACATCCGTCTTCTTCAAACAGCCTTCGTCAACAAACAAACTCCTTTCCATGACCGACTCTTGTTGTTCCCTTGCTCGCGATCCCTTTCATGTTACCTCTTTTAAGCCTCATCAGAAGGTTTAAAGATTTTCCTTGCCTCAGCCATGACCAGTAGTAGAGCAGGCAGAAAAATAGTAGAGCAAAAGCCTTAGCTCCACGACTATATAAGAGCCTGCGGCAATAAAGACACATCTCCTTCCAGGTCACATGACCTGGCCAACGACGGTGCGTCTTCTCCCAACTCACACAGTCTGTACTTTAAGAGGGGTGCATTGATAGTGTCAATTGTTGACTATTGGCCTAAGGAATCATTTAAAATAACTCAAATGCATCAACTCTTTAGGTCACAAAGTCCGCAGTATGGCTTTAAAAGCTAAAATCCTCTAAATTAAAGCAGATTTATTATCGTATGCTAGTGTTAAACATCAAATCATGTATTTTTCACTTATAAAACGAACAGCTTAAGCTTTTTATTCAGTTTTAATTTGCTCCAGATACAACCTAATCTGTTAATACAGCAGACGTCTGGTGATGCTTGTACTGAAAACAGGACAAAAACCAGAAGGGAAGATAAAGATGCTTTGGTTAACCCCCCCCGCTGTCTGGTGGTAAATAGTGCCAGCCAGGCTTCAATCTGAGCTGGAAATCCTACAAATGGCCAAAACAGATTGTCTTATCTCTGCTGCATGTGGCGTATCGTCAGAAACCGCCGTGCACTCTGAGTTCACATCTTGATGCACTTTGAGTTGCTGATATGATTCGTCTAGACAAAACTCAGTGACCCATGCAGACAGGAATGGACAATGAGCTCCTTTTAAAATAGATCATCACCAGGAGGATTGTTTCACACTATATGTACATTTGAAACCTTAGTGTTTCATCTTGAGATCTTATTCTCAATTCTTTTGTTTTTTTTAATAACATAGTAAACTCAGTTACATTTAAAAAGGATGTGTAATAAAGGAAGAGTTTAGCACCTTGCTGGGTTTCTTCTTCTCGCTGATGCTCTCGGCCTCCTCGTGCTCCTTCGCCCCCTGCGTCAGGTTGGTGTAGTTGGCCAGGCGGTTGAGGAGAGAAGACACCTTGGGTCGAGTGTCCATCTCTTCCTGTTGGTTATCAAGCAAAGGGAGATGTAACAGCGTGAGAAGAGGGAGATGACAGCACTGAGAGGATAACAAAGAGAGGATTGCAAGATAAAAACAGGCGACTGAAAAGAAAAGAGCAGGAGCTGAGAAAAAGCAAGTTATAAAGAATCAGCAGGAGGAAAACAGGAGAAAAAACTGATCTATATATAAGCTAAAACACAGCAGCTTTCAGCTGAGGTTTTGTAAACAAAACAGCGGCCGTTTCTCAATATGTGTACTTGTGCTTCCTGACGTACTCGTGAAGCGTCCTCAGCCTCAGCCCTAGTACTGTTCAAATTCACAAGAACAAGAAGGCAGAGAGCAGACAAAGTCCCCGGATGTTGTTCTCGCCCCTCCCTGTTTACCCAGCATGCATCAGAGCTTTCATGCATCAGAGTCTGTTCTTGAGATTGACAGCTGTCCCAGCATGCACTGCGGCAAGCAGCAGCAGCTTCCAATTATTGAGTTAAAAGTTCTTCTTTTCTGATGCTGTTGTTCAATAAAAGTATGTTTTAAGATCATTTGAGGCGAGAATATTATACCTTTAAGCATCACTCTATGTCCCATCTACCTATTTAATGCGTCATTTAAAAAATTAAATCCGAAGTTGAGAGCGGAGCTCCGAGGCTAACGACAGCTAAGGCTAACCGCAGCCCGTCTGCAGCAGCCCTCTCTCGGCATAGCCGCGTTTAAAAGGACCGCTGGCTCTGATGGCAATTTTAAGTCATGGCGATATCTGACTGTGTTAATTAGTTCCTCACTAAATGAAAAAAGTCAGAATTTTTTATTATCTAGAGACTATTAATAACAGGAGGTGAAATGCAGCTCCAGAAGAGCTGAGCATGTGGTGATGTCAAGAGTACGCTTCTGTTCCGGTTGACCCATATTTATGCTGCGAGCTTCCGTTCTCCCAGAGTCCACACTTTCCTGTGTTCTTCTCAAGAACATACTTGGCGGGGACATTAGTCCATACTCGCGTTCTTGTGAATTGAGAAACGGCCACAATTTCTATTCTTGTTACCATCGGCAACCGCTGCCATGACACAAAAACATTTAAAACGCTAAATACATTTCAGATGGAGCAACTGGTTGCTTTCGAACCTCAAATAAGGCCAAGTTCCTGTCGTAGAAGTCGTCATCGTCCATCCCATGGCTGTTGTTGATGTAAACACTGGAGTTTTTTGAATTCCCATCACCTGAGCAACAGAACAGAGAGATAAGGACACAGACAGTACTGGAACTTTAATATGACCCAAAGAAGTACACTTCATCATCATCATCATCATTGCTGTCGTTCTAATTCAGGCTTCCCCCGTCACCGAGACACTTCCAGCTCCAACAGCAGCACTTGACTCAGCAGCATCACTTCCCTGTCTGCGTTCCCTCATGCTAACGCCAGCAGTCGCCTTGGGTCACATTAATGAGAGGAAATGCGGTAGGAAGGACATTTTGACGAATGCTTTTCTTTAAAATACAACAATAACGCTGCAGCGTTTGGTGAAAAACAAGAACAATCAGGGTGTGACATCTCACTGCAAGACAGAGAGAGAAAAAACAAGCAGATACACTGCTGGAGTGTGTTGGTAGGTGAACCTGCTGAACAGGACAGCCCAGATTCTCAGACATGTCTGTAGCTCTCAGGCTTTAGTGAGGCTCACAGAACGGCTGCACCTTTCCTGCTGTAGTCCCATTAAAACCACCAAGGGGAACTGGAGAAAGCCGGTTAGAGCTGAAATATCTCTAGAAGACTCATAAAGACAGTCTGTCTGCTACATCTAACATCTAAACAACTTTGCACATCAATAGTAGAGAAACTATTGAGGCAAAAAATCCAACTAAGGAGGTTAGTTTGACTCCCAGTCTGCTGCATCCAACCTTTGCCTCATTGCTAGAGGCCAGGTAAACAATTTCAAAGACATAACCTGTATCTGTTTCTGGGTAGGAGAGAGGGAATGTCTGAGAGAAAACACCCTGAACCTCTGAATCCTTTCAAGTTTCCAGACTCTGATGCTCAACTTGAGATTTGCTCATAAACAGTCAATGAGCTTCTCAATAATTTAAAAACATTTTTTGTTTCTGGCCCCTATTTCATCTTTTTTGCTTTTTCAAGCCCTTTTAATGGCATGGATCACCTTTGTAATAAGATATATTTTTGTTTTTGTTTTTTTCTTAAAACAATAAAGTAAATAAGTGATCCTTATTTTGGCTTTAATCTTATTTAGTCATCAATAAGCCTATCAATCTATTGACTCATTAATTAAACTGCTAGAGATCACGCCTGCTAAAGGTCCCCTTCTCACCATACTGGTTTTGAGGACCAATCGTAACCATTATTGTGCTAGTCGATAAAACTGTTTTATTTTCTTATAATCGTAAAGCAAAGGTAATTAATAGGAGAGATTTTTGTTTGTTTTTATAGAATTTGGACAAAATGAAGCTGAACTTATGCAACTAAATTGAGTTCTGGAGGGAATACAGCTTTAGCTGCTACTGCTCCTTTGTTTTGTTTTTTTCTTCTTCAGCAAATGGCATGTCTAAGGGTCTATAAACCCTAGTTTATTAATTGAAAATAATTCCTAATAATCAGTTAATCACTTTAGTTTCATTTGAAAAACTGATGGAGTAATCCTAAAGCTGAACATTGAACAAGGGCGGATATTTAGCCACCAGCAGTAGCTGCTACTGTGAAGCCAGAAAACAGCAGGGTTCACTGAGTTTAGAGGGAGCAGGACTTCCTGCAGCTAAAAGCAGCAAAAGCATTTTTTGCTGCATCTGCAAAAAAAAAAAAAAAAAAAAAAAAGAGAGAAATTAGATGTAGTCTAATGATGTATCATGGCGGCAGATTTCTTCTTACAAAAGTAAGGTTTCTGTTTCAAACGCAAAGATCAATTTTCAAAAACTTTGACCAAATTATAATGATTTATCTTTCAGAACCTTAATATTAAAACATTTTTATTGAAGGTAGGGATTCAGGACATTATTATTTTGCAAAATTGAAAACATTTTCTAATTAAGAATCAGACAGCAAAAAGTACTTTATAGGAGATTTTCATTACATTTAAAAGAGGTGAAGCTAAACCTACATTTATTAAGGAGCATAGTTCCAACCTAAGAAGGTTTTTCATCTTAAATGAAAAATTTTAAAAGATATTGTACAATTTAGGTTAAAATCCAGTAACGGTCAATTTATAGAATCTGTAATTCGATGACAAGTAACTAAAGCAATTGACAGTTACTTTAATAATCAAGATTTAACTGATTCATTGCTAATAGGAGGGAAGACAGGGAGCTGATGCCAGATGAAAGGGAGTGGACTGTACCTGCAGTGTGTGCAAACCTGGTGGAATAAACTACAGGAATCATTTGACCTCTTTAATTGCAAACAAAGGCTACTTTACCAAATTATAATATTGATTTACTCCAATGTTGAAATACTTATTTGCAGCTGTATTATTCAAATAAATTGTTTTTAAAAAATCATATATTGTAATTCCTTGGGGGGGTGACGTCACCATAAAAACAAAGACAAGTTGAAGGATCTGAAAAGAGAAGTTCCCAAAAAAAAAGGGAGTTTCGTTTGACATAAAGTGCTCACACATGGAAACTGGGAAAATTCCACAAAGTAAGACGAACATTGTTATAACTGCTGCACATTTTTTCTCTGCGTTTTATTTGCTGACTTTGTCAAACGCAAGACCCTGAAGTCAAATCAGTTTTAGCCACGCTCTTCCAGAGATACTACCAGTGCACACTTTGAAACTGTAGACCAGAAAGTCTAAAAAATAAAGCATTTGTCTATTAATAAAAGGTAAACCCGTTTCCCTTGCAGAGCCACAGCTGCTGAAGTGTCTGAAACGTAGAGGCGACCCAGCTGTTCATCTCTGTCAGAGCTCCCAAACAGAGGGGAGCACCTTAACATGCAGGGGTGGTTTATTCATCAGCATCCATTGAAGCAGCATTCATCTTAAACCAGACGTAGTCGTCTCTAAACACATGTCAGCATCAGTGGCTAACAGAGATGCTGTCAAACAAAATGAATCATGGAGGAAATAACGGCTGAACCGTCCACCGTGACGTCTTCTGTAAAAACTCTGACTCAGCTGCATTGCTTTGTCAGCATTTTTATGTTTGATAAAAGAGATAGAAACATGAACGGGCTGTAGAGAAGGAGCCCCGAGTCAGATTAACCGTCTCGTTGTCTATTTATGGAAGCTTATTAAACGGCGCAGGGCATCCCCCTAACAGCGTATATGCTTAACTGGATGAGTGTGCTAATACGGTAACATCCTCCTGAGCCAGTGAACCAGCGTGGCTATTCCTTTTTGCTTTTAAAATAGCAGCGTTTTGTCCTCAGCTTGCCAACTGTTGACTCAAATTAGCAAGGAGGAAAAAGAGTTTCTCCACAGCTTCATGAAACAAGCAGCTCTGCTGGATCTGTGAAAAATAGCTACCCTACTAAAGCCAGCAGAGCCACAGCATCAATACTTAAAGCTTTCCTGGTGAAAACACGAAGCTAAACAGCTGCTAATGCTGCTGAGTGAAGAAGAAGAACAGGTTCTGTCTAAAAGCAACATTTCACTTAAACCCATGCAGGAAAATTACTAATATTTGAGCACATGTGAAAATAAAACCTACACCGTGTAGCACTAGTAATCCCACCCCCATAGACTTTTCCACATTAATCACCTTCCAACTGCAGATATTAATACTCTGTTGGGATGTTAAGCTCCAGATCATAACAGTTTCAGATAATAAAATACTTATATTAAGGGATGAACTGGTGCTAGGCATTGTTTTCTCTGGTCCAAATGAATTAAATGCAGTGCAACCATCAGGCCTCATTGTTTTAATCTGCTGGTGAAGATTCTCAGTCATTCAGGCCATAGTCATTCCAAAAAAGTTAAAAAACAATCCAGTGGAATTTGTTTCAAGTTTGAAGATGTTTTGCTTCTCATCCAGGAAGTTAATTAAAATGTCAGAAATAGCGTTGAGTGTTTCATCCGTTGCATTTCCAAATTCTCCCGAGTGACGGCCGACTTTATACGAGTTAATACAGTGAATGTGATTGGTTGTTTATCAAGGGGGCGGGATTGTTGTAGCGGAAGGTTATCAAGCAAGTTTGATTGGTTTGTCGGAAGCAGATTCCCAATGGGAAATTCCATTGGGACCAAGTAGCACTAAATTGGTGACTTAGAAACGACGCTGTGAAGGAACGCTATGGACAGAGGAAACATGCAAGAGGAGGAGAGTTTTGTGTCGGAGGTCGTGGATGAGTCTCCTCCATCATACATTTTTTATTAAGAGGAGGAAAGTGGGGACGAAGATGTAGTGGAAGAGGACGCCAGGGCGGCAGAAGCTTGGTTTGGTGTAGAAGGGGTACATGTTTGAGCCCTTGCCTTACAACACTGCCAGTTCTGTTAGCTCTACGCCTGCTGAAGACACAGACGTCCATCCCTGTGAACACTGGGACGGAACTCAATGGGAAAGGAAATTATTCCTATTTCAACCGTTGCGTATATTAGCTATGACCAAAAAAATGTGATTGACAGATGACCGTTGATACAGGTGCACAAGCTGACGTATAACTAACTGGCCTGCATAAGATAACAAAAAATAAATAAAATAGAGCGTATATTTATATACATGTTTAAGCCAGAATGATTTGACATTTAAACATGATTTCCTTACAGCTTTAAGCATGTAAAACGCTCTTTTAATGCAGTCAGTTTGCATTAAATTTAGTTTAGCATTTTACAGACTAAAGCTGAAGCCTCCATGAAGCAACATATGAATCAAGATGCTATGACCAAAAAAATATGATTGACAGATGTCTGTTAATGTATGATTGGCTGAATTTAGTTGTACAGGCTGATGTATAACTAACTGGCCTACGGAGCCCCTCTGATGACATGGTCAAAAAAATTTTTAATTGTGGCCATGAAGTAGTATTTCGTGGCTACGCAATAAGAATAACGTGCGCACGAAATACTACTTCGTGGCCACAATTAAAATTTTTTTTTGACCATGTCATCAGAGGGGCTCCGTACTGGCCTGCATAAGATAATGGGGAAAAAAACACAGATTTTATGATTATAATTTTTTTAAACAAAAATTTTCCAAGTTTTGGGACAATATAGTCTGATAAAGAGTACATTGATATACATGTTTAAGCCAGAATGATTTGACATTTAAATGTGATTTCCCAACGACTTTAAATTCTCCATCTAAAAATAATGACAGCAGCTGCAGAAAGCTATTTTAGGTTTTCTTTTCCAGTCTGAATTGGATATTGCTCTGTACTTTGACTAGGCCAAAGGTTATGATCTAAAACTACCTGGTTGCAGTTCTAGTTGCATATTTAGGGTTGGTTTTTCAGCTTTAAGGTGAACTCGTGCTCTAATCTATAATCTATTGTAACCAGCAGCTCTCCGGTCCTGCTGCAGGGACAGCCCTTTGTCATAATGAAAGCCTGAATTTTATCATTTTTTCAGCCCAACTTCTTCTCCACTTCCTCCTTGACTTGTCTGTCTTGTTGCGTGCCGTCAATTATATTGTTTGCTTTTTAAAAATGTGATTTAGCCAGCAGCTTAGATTCTGTTTAGGAAACATTTTACATGTTAAGATTAAAACAGGTCAACTTTTATGCTTTTAGTATCAGATATTTTCTTGGGTATCAATATTGGTTTTAAAATGTTACACATTCACAGAAGAGTTGGGTTTAATTTGATGAAATCATATAAAAAAAATGGATTACATTAAAGGCAGGCAACTGAGCTGTAATAGGCTGAAAGGATTAATAGAATCATTTGATTATTAAAATAATTGTTAACTAATTTGGTAATAGTATCTGTTAAAATAGTTAACAGACTGGCTGAAAAATCACCTATTACAGCAACAATTAAGACACACTTTAACAAAAAATACAAACAATTTCCATTTGAGATTAAAAAAATCTTCATTTTCTATATATATTTACATGTATATGTATGTATATTGTATATTTTTTTACTTGTTTTTACCTGAGGAAATTCATTTAAAATGTGAATGATAGGAATGTTAATTTAATAAAAGATATTCTGTTTTAGATTAACTACTAAATTAAGTTACTACTAAAGTAATCAAGCCTTGGTTAAGTACAAATGCCCTCCACACATTTAAGATTTGTTATTTGTAAAGAAAACCAGCAACATTTACCTTCCCATTTAGAGTAATTAAATACTTTTGTTGGTCTAATAATACAGAAAAAACTCTGATATTTTAGGTTATAAGATAAAAAGCTGTGTAAAAAGTTTTCAAGCAGATTTCAGGGGAAAACATCAGTAGAGAAGGATCAGCTCATCACTGCTGCAGAGAGCACCAACTTACTGTCAGGTGTTTCCCCTGATGCTAAAAGGTGATATAATTAGACAACAGCATTAAAAAAATAAGGATCATGGGTGAGTTTTGATTTAGAGATGATTTAAAGTTGTTATAAACTACCAACAAGCCTCCAGGTCTCCTTATCAAGTCTTTCCTTAAAGCAGAGCTTCTAACTCATATAAAAGTCTTAAATCAAACCAGCGTGTTCTAAAAACCAAACATCAGAGATGATGCCTCTGAGGCGTCGGGTGCGTCTCACCTTGGTCCACGCTGCACTGATCCGGCGTGTCGTTCCCTCCCGCTCCTGACACAGTGGTGTTCACTCCTGCCGACGCCTCGCTCACCGCGTCACTCCGATTGATGCTCTCCCTGGAGCCGAATCGGACGTGGGCAGACGGGCGCGAGCTGATGTCGGGTGACGTGTCGGACAGCCCGGGGAGGTCCTCGGCCTTGGTGGGCGTCACCGTGAAGCGGACCGACGACATGGCGGCTAGCTTACAGAGGTTTGTGTGAGAGAAAGGAGGAAAAGGAGGGAGGGAGGGTGGATGCAGGATGCAGGGAGAGGGAAGGGGCAGCACTGTGCTGGCCTCAGCTAGGCTATCTCCCAGCTGATGCAGAGGTAACAGCTACCTCTATGGTTTCTCCCTTTGGTAACTAAATACTCCATCGAGGCAAACTGCTTGTTTTTAGTTTGGTTTCTTTTTTTTTTTAAAGTTTCTCCTTCCTCTGCACCAAATTAGACCCTAAATCTGGTCAAAATGGGATAGTTTCCAGAGAGATGCTGGTCTAATCTTTTAATGACAACATGAGGACGTCTGTAGGAGGTATTGCTGAAGAGTTGCTGGGATGTTTGCCTGCCAATGATGTAAACAAAGTTGTCCCGCATCAACCACGCCCCATTAAAACACCTTTAAGATATTTTAATCAAAGGGATAGAACATGAGGGATGTAGGGAAAAGGAGAGAAAACAGAGAGAAGAAGAAAAAAAAAAGAGTGTTATTTTCACTATATGTGAAAAATGAGCAGCTGAAGAGCTCTCCAGCTAACTGCATTCACCCGTTTCTCTAATTCTATCATGACCAGCAAGCTCTGTCATGTGTTTTTTTTATAAGATTTCAACAATAACTCCTCTGTTTAACCATAACCAGCAGCTTCCAGCAGAACTGGAGAAATGTCACATTTATTGCTCACGGTACGTGCACATGCCATCCCATGTGATAAAACACCAACAACAACCTCCAGCCAATAAAAACTAAACCACAGCGTCTGGTGGATGGCTTCTAATAGAGGGGATCATCCTCTGACCACATCCAGTGACTGAGGTAGAAAGAAACCTCCAGAATGAGTCGCACCGATGTCCCTGATGTCCCACGGGGGCAAAGCCATGTATTAATGTACATGAGAACCCAGGAGGAAGAGCTAAACAGAGCAGAGCACACAGCTGAGGTGTTTGTTTTTCTGTCTCCCGTCTCTCTTTCTTTAGACTTGGATGATAATTTAATAATTAAAAGGAGAGCGGTTCTAACCGGTTGTACTGGAGAGCGCCAGCTTTCACTCTGCATCCAGAGGCAAGGCAGGTTTTCTATTGAAGAAAAACAACGTTTCCAGGTCCTTCAACTCTTAAAGAAGGAAGGGTGTGGAGGACAAGACGTTCAGGCAGAAAAATCACCTCACCAGGGTAAACAAAGGTAGATTTGAGAGTCAGAGAGGTTGGGTTCATTTCTGGATGAGTTTGAGCTAAAAAATAAATAAATAAATAAAAAACAGAAAAAAGGGGATCAAATGTAAATAGAGTCCCATGATTTAGTGATTGCTGCCTTTCTCCTATAGGAGCTTTACATAAAATAAAAACAGACTTAACAAGCTAGACATGTGGATTTCTCTCTTCTATATTTACATTTTTTTTTTAAATGACACATTGACAACAAATATCAGACAAATGTCAGTTTAAACAACATTAACAAAGGATGGAAAATAGAGGGAGCGTCTGTTCATGCTCTTCACCTGACCTTAAAGCAGAGGTCTGCAACCTGTGGCTCTCTGACCCTCTAATATGGCTCTTAATACTGGCTAAAAATGATCATTAAGCCAACTAATGGTTTTGAACACAGTTTAAAAACAAATACAAGTCTTAGAAGCTTTAGTGGATTAGAAATTAATTTTCACAACAGAAGGAAATTAAACTTCCAGAACAACAGCATATATATTTATCAGTAGCCTACACTGCAAAAATGACGTAGAATTAAGTAAAAAGTTCTTGAATTAACTTAATTTATCCTTATTTTGAATAGGTAAATACGATGATTTGCCAATGGAATAAGTATTTTTGCTTCAAATCAAGAACAATTTCACCTATTTTAAGAAAAAAAAATGAATTATTTAGATTTATATTTTTTGCTGCTTAATTTTTTTACACATCAATTAACATCATATTGAAGAAAATCCACACAAAATTTTCTGAGACATTTTATGTTTATCTTTGTATTAAAACCTAAAAATACATATAATCTGTTGGTTTGAAAAGGCAACAGTTTTTGCTACCGCAGATATTCAACAAAAATAATAAGTTGTGTTCTGATAAAAAGAGACATTAGGTACATTTTTACAAAAAAATATCTTTAAAATATCCTTTCTATTAGACCATTTCTGACTAAATCATCGTCTGATGAGCTGTCTGACACCTCAGTGGTTCAGCACTGTTGCATCTTCTAAGCCGGTTTTCCTGAATTTACTTCGGGTCAGAAGTTCCTGCGCTGTTTGGTGGATGTGACATCAAGCGCATCCATGGTCAATGGGTCCGACCTGGTAAACACAATGTACCATAGGTTTAATAAGAAATGAAAAAATAAAGCTTTAAAAGACTAGATGTATGTTTAAAACCAATGCCTAAAAAATTAGCTCCCAGAAGTAGCATAGGATTCCATTTGTGGTAGAAATTGGGTGATAAAAAAGAAAGGATTTTAATCAGAATCAGAATCAAATTTATTGCCAAGTAGGTTTTTTGCACTTACAAGGAATTTGACTTGGTGTTGTTGGTGCAGACAAAAAACAAAACAAAATAACAAAATAAGATAGAATATATATTTTGTTATTTTGTTTTGCATTTATTATCACAGGAAATACATTATTAACATTTAAAACATTATAGTTTAGTGTGCTTACTATTTTTAAAGGAGGGAAAAACTTAATTTAGGTCTATTTTAAGTAAAATCGAGGGCGACCCGGATGTATATCTGGCTGCACATGCGCAATGAGCTACCTGTATGGATCGGGTAGTGACATGCATATTCAGTATGGGTTATCTGGACATTCAGAAGTGACTGACATCAAGCCCAACTCAAAAACTACTAACAACTCCATGTAAGGTGAAAACAAAAACAAAAAAACAATAAGAACGAACATGAGCAGAGAGGGCTGCAGTTCCGTGTTTTGGCCACAGGTGGCAGTATCATTAATCATGCAACATTTATGGCTCTAAATTACTTTGATTATGCAGGATTTGGGGCAAAATGCTCTTTGGATTTTAACGGTTGCAGGTCTCTGCACTAATGATTCTGCGAACTTGTGCACGTATCAACCGACACAAGAACAAAAACAGGCTGATATCGACCAAAAATCTGCTGGTCCATCTAACGGTCATTCTGCTATGGAGGCCTGATTCAAACTGCTGTAACAGAGAGCTGGGTTTTAATAACTGCTGCTCGGTTTGGCTTTTCATACTTTAGAAGTTTGCTTATTTTATTGCCCACTTATCCTGGGTAGAGACACGTCAATTTATCCACGCCTTAGGGATGGTCTTCAGGCTTGGGAATGGTGTGAACCTAAAGCTACTAGTAGAAAACACTGGGAAGGCTAAACAAAAGTACTCCATTTCTTTCTTTTTTTATGAGCATTTTTGGAAATTTTCTAATTTAAAGTAAGGATCTTGTTTCTGTAGAGAAAGAGGCCTGCTAATTTCTAAAGAAGGATTATAATTATTACGTTATAATGGATTTACAGTGGATTTTATCACAAATCGACAGATTAGAACTTCACCACTAATCTCTAAGGGGTGAAACATCAGGATGAATGTGGCTTTCAGACTGCCCTTCCTACCTAGTACAGAGCTGGGAGGGTGGAGGACAATAAACCATCAGCTCCCTCATTTCTGACTGACTACACTTCCTCCTGAACCAAAGCCTCCCAACAACAAGAAGACTGAGGTCTAATCTGTACTGACAGCTGAGCAGGATGATTCAAGACATTTTGTTCTCGTTTTTTAACCTATCATTAATACCACATTTTCATACATAAAAACCACTTTTCCTGCACTAGTAGGTGTGCTTCTTTAGGCCCTATCTGTGCTGCAGTCAAACTGTCAAGACTTCTAATAAATGGGTGCTGTATTGTTCCCCAGCTGGCTGTCAAATCCCTTTAGGCCTCTGATGCAGAAAACCGTGAAAAAGCACCTGAATCCGGACAGATTCCCTTTAACTCTGCATTTCAGCCAAATTGTGCATTTCACGTGTCCTCCAGTTGTTAGGCTTATTACGGTAATGTCGATTGGGTCTATATTAAGCAACGCAGGTGCAGGTATAATACACTAAACCTCCTAAAACTAACAAATATATAGGTATATATAGATCCATGCTGTTAAATTGGTTCCTATGGTGATGCTCGCGCCACACATCTCCCATTCTAAGCCAATTAAGCTAGCTATAATAATTCTGGCTTGAACCGGTCTCCTTTCAGCAGAACCGGTTATAAAGCAGCCATAAGCAGCGGATCCGGACTGGATATCTGCGGTCACATCAGCTCCACAGGAGAAGCGGTGATTTGAGCGGCGAGTTTTACCGCAATAAAGCCGACACACACAAAAAATCCCTAAAACAATTTAATTAATTATAGAGTAACGCTTTTAATTTCAAGCAGAGTCGCCCTGTAAATGTATTTTATCATGAAGTTTTGTTTCATTACTTCAATAAGCAGGTGTTTCGGCTGAGGGTAGTAGCGGTAACGGCTGGAGGGTTCAGTCGGTGAGACTAGCATAGCCCCGCCGCAGACAACCTGTCAACTCTCCGGACCTCCTCATAGCTCTCCAGCAGCGACAATTTCCCCGCTCAAATTAGTCCCCGTTTGCCCCCGCCACTGTGAACACATACCCGCCTCTGGTTTCCATTACAAGACGTGACCGTTTCCATCTTTATCCGTAAGCAGCACCTCTGCCAGGGGTTTCTCCGCACATTTATTCCTAACGACCCACCAAAAAAAAAAACAGCACGCGACTGCGGCACCTAGGTCCCAACTTCCTTGCCGTCGTTCCATCTACCTTGCGCATGCGTCGTTAAGACCCCACCGCAAAGAAGTATGGGTAATGCAGTCATTTAGATTCTACCAGTTTGTTTTTGTGCCATAGTGCCTTTTATACATATAATTTCACTTTAATATGGGGAAAAAAGTCATAATTTTGACTTTAATCTCAGAATTCTGACTTTTTTCCACATAATTCAGACTTTTTTCTTAGAATTCTGACTTTAATCTCAGAATTTTGACTTTTTTCTCAGAATATGACTTTTCTTAGAATTCTAACTTTTATCTAAGAATTCTGACTTCAATCTCAGAATTTAGACATTTTTTTCTTAGAATTCAGACTTTTTTCTTAGAATTCTGACAGCTAAGACACATGTTAGCACCAAGCTATTGCAGAATTCTAAGAAAAAAGTCATAATTCTGAAAAAAAAAGTGAGAATTCTGAGATTAAAGTCAGAATTCTTAGATAAAAGTGAGAAATTTGAGATTAACGTCAAAATTCTGAGAAAAAAAAGTCAGAATTCTGAGATTGAAGTCAGAATTCTGAGGGAAAAAAGTCAGAATTCTGAGATTGAAGTCAGAATTCTTACATTTTTCTCATATTATACTGAACTAAAATTGAAAAATCAGTTAACTTTATTTCTTCAGTGGCCCTAATCCTCTAAAGTTTGTTAGACCGCTTTAAATAAAATCCGTTTTCCATATAAAAATATTTAATTTACTCCTGTACATTCAGAGAGATTTATTACCAACACTATTGCTATGCTTTTAACATTTTAATAATGAAAAGGTGACTTTTAAAACGTGAACTCTGGACCCATTGACCGTCTAACAAATGACTGCAAGACCAATTAACAGTAATGAAATACCATAAATCACTCTTTCTTCCAGTCATCCATTAATTTGTAAATATTAAGTAATTTTTACATATTTTATAAAGTCAGTATATCTCTGCAATGGAAGTGCAATAGCCTAAGTAAACTAGTGTGTAGTCTTCCCTTAGGTCTTTGCTGTTCAGATATTTGTATATCTAAAGAATCCAGGACATCACTAATTTTCAATACTATATACCGTACACTCTTTGTATTGTCTGTTGTATTTTTAATGGCATCTTACTTTAACTATTTGTCCTCTATATAAGCTACTGGAACTTTGGAATTTCCCCGAAGGATAAACAAAGTTGAGTCTTAGTCTAATTTTGACATCATTATTCAATTTCCATTTTTTTCAAATAATAAAATTCTACTAGCTGCCAGACTTTTACCAGCACAAGCAAGATGGATCATACCAGAACCAGTTCTTTGGATCACTCTGCATTGGTTCAGTTTTTCAGAGAATTTTATAATTCTGCTAATCATCAATCTCAGTACTAGGCTGAAGAATAGTTATATGGGGAATCTTGAACCACGTAAAGGTGAGGCAGCATTTGGTTTTATACTCCTCAGCTTAAAAAAAATTCTTTGTAAACTTGAGATTGCAGAAACTGAATGGCAGCATTGTTCACAGCATCTTTCAGTTAAAAATTTAAATGGAATAAAACAAAAAAAAGTACTCTTTGACATGTAAAGCCCCAAAATATCTTCATTAAAAGATATTTTTTCGAATGGTGAGAGGCTATCTTTATATTCCTGGAGATAAATACACAACTACTGGCAAATTTTAATAAACTGTTCTGATTTTTAGTTGGATTTATTTTAGTCTGTTGCTCAAAAAAAAAAAGTTAGACTAAATATGATTAAGGCTAATCAATGACAGCTGAATAGGAAACTCAGATTTTCTCAGTTACTATAAAATAGTTATATCTGGAGTGTATTTTATTTCTGAAAAGAGAAATCTTCCATTTTTGAGGTACTAACATTTCATTGTTAAATGTATGATTCAGCAGAATAATGAAATCTTCCATCTCTAGTTGGGGCATCAAACACAAAGACAACCAAGAGGAAATAATTTGCACATTTTATTCAAAACATAAACAAACATAATTATACGTAAAAGCAAAACATTCCATTCCAACAATCCATGTTACAGCTGATCCATCTCAGACAGTCTTTCTGTTGTTTTCCTCTCAGATCCATCATCTAATCCTCTGTAGAGGCTCCTTCACAGGACGGGCCGTGGCTGCTGCGTGAGCAGGATGCCAAAACGTTTCTTCAGCTGCACGCGGTGCCGGGAGAACTTGTCGTCGGGAGAGAAGCGAGCCGGGTGGGCCGAGCTGGTGGGCTGCCCATCGGGTGTCACCTTCTGTTGGTGGAAGATGAGAGAAAAAAACAAACGGGACATTAAAGGATGTCTGTGAAAAAACATAATTAAGGAAGCAATGTTTAAGACCTTGAAAACAAATTAATTTGTTAAAAATCCAAATATTAAACTTAGCCTAAGTATGACTCAAGACACAGATACTAAAACTTTAATTAGTTTACTTAAGAGTTAACTCAAAGGGATCAGGAGTCTTTGATCAATTGTCAAGTTATTTTTCTTTGTCACGAAATTATTTGTCAATAAATGTAAATGAAAATATTTGTCAATGCTTTTTGAAGTTTTCCATCTCTTGTAAGAACCCAGTGTATATGGAGTTAACATGATAGAACAACAGAGAGCAAGGCTGGACAATCTGTTGCCATGGCAACTATTGCATGTGCAAACCAGAATCTGGGAGAAGCATAAAGGAACATGTTTGCCATAAATGAGAGCAATGCAAAATGATATGAATTTAAACTCTAAGCTTTTCATGCGTAACAACTAGGAGGGTAAATCACACCCATCATGGCGATTCGATTCAGTATCAATTTCCTGACCCAACTGTTCGATTATTTTTGATACTTGAGAATACACCACGATACGATTCAATTCGATGAATTTGTTAATTTTCTTTACCTTACAGGCTACACAGTGATTCAAATTTTAAATAAATCAATGAAAGCTGTAATATCATTATGCATTTTATTTAAGAAACAACAGCAAATAACAGAAGTAGCAAAGTTGTACCCCACCTATGCCTATGAAAACCTCGTTCAATAAAAAATAATAATGCCTCATTGTTTACGTGAGTGTGTGTGCAAGCAGAAAGAGGGCGGTGGCTAAAGGAAGCGAGGTAGGAGGGCAAAATAAGTTTAGCTCCACCACAGGGCAGGAGTAAGAATTACGTCCAGGAGCAAATGGATAAAAAAAGACTGGAGGGAGAAAAAAAAAACACCTGAATCGATTCTCTTGTGGATGCTTCGGATCACCGGCTGTTTTGATCGATGCATCGATACCATAAGTATTGATAGGTAGGAAAGGTGGTAAAACAGCATTATACCACAGAATGATTTTCAGGACTACAATAACTGATAAAAGCTGCAACAATCCTCACTACTGGGGGAAAAAAGAGCTGGAGAAAAAAATTAGATCAAAGAAGATATGAGTTTTGAGAATGGCCTAGTCAAAGCCCAGACTGAATGCAATGGGAAATAGTTTGGGCTGCTTTTAATAGATGCATCTGTTGCATTTTAACTATTCATCTGTTGCATGGAGGGCAGAACAACATGGCGGAAACTTTTATCACAATACATTTAGTTTTCTGTTGAAATGGTATTTTAATAATATTATACAGAGTTATGAGGAGTATTATACGACGCTTATAAAACTAATTCCAACATTTTTAATATATTTGCTTAAAAAAAAAAAAATAAACGCACATAAAACTACAAAAATCCAGTCAGTAAGAAAAGCTGTATTCGTGGACTGTGGTTTAAACTGAAATATCAGAAATCATATAATCTAATATGTAATTAAATTATAAAACGATGTATTTATTGATGCTTAAATGTTGTCAAGACTTTTACATTTTTATCTTACTTATAGTTGATCTTTTAATGCAAACCTCCAATAAAATGATATAAACACCTATAATAGTAAACAAAAGAAAACAAAAAAGAAATGCACGACAACAAATCCTGGTTCGGATTTTTATCTGGACTAGTTTTCGTACAAAGCAAAGAGTATAAAAGTAAAGACAAAAACAACAAATTAACAATAAGATAAGCGAGCTGCATGTCTGATCCACGATATCACCTCGCATCTCCAGCTCTGTTGTTGTTTCAATAATATTATTCAAATAAATTCCTTTTACGTGCCTTGAAATGTATCACCTAAGAGTTTAAAGCGGAATAAGTAGTGAACCAGAGCAAAATGCTAATGAGTTAGCCTGTAAACACGAAGCTAGGCTTACCTTCAGAGTGTAGACTCTGTCTCCGTTCTCATTTTCATAATATTGCAGAAACATTTTGACGAGCGTTTGTTTTTTTTAGGCTTTGTTGCTTCAAATAAAGCCGAGTAGACTTTAAATGTATGAAAAATCCAATTTCTTTCAGTAAAATCGCTTCTTTTAGTTCTGAATCGCACGTGCGTCTTCAGACCTGCGTGAGAGGGCGGATTTCCGGGTTGGCCGAAAAGCATCCTGGGAAATGGTGTACAGCAGTAAAATGTTCAAATCTTCAATTTCAAATGATCTAACTTAAACGTGCTTCAAGATACTTTACTATTCTTTTTCATAGAGTGATTTATAACAATACTATTTTTAGAAAAATATATTTTCCGTAAAATAACTTAAAATTTTATAATCAAATACAGCAGTCATGAAAATAAACAACAATGTAATGGAAATGGAATAAAATGAAAAGGGAGGGGGGGGGTAGTAATAATTATTAAAAAAAAATAAATACAAAAAAATGTTTTTCAGCTTGAATTTTAGAGAAGCTGTTGATGGAATGCTTAAAGTCTAAGAGTCAAAACAAACTAAAATTGTTTACTTTTGACTTTGACTGCAGGACCAAGGAGTACAGTGTTGAATCCAGAGTCGTCTAAAGAGGTTTTATTCCCAAGCGCAAAAGGTAAGCCAGCGGAAACAGATTAATCAAAAATGGTTTACAATATCTGCTTAGCTGTCTATGTACAAGTTTTAAGAAACACATAGTATTTCTCTGTAAGGAATGGAGGATTTTACTGGAAGTATGAAATCATTTAAACAAA